GAAGGCCGGGTTTATATAACATTGGGAGATGATGCAGACATCGAACTCCCGTGGGGACATTTTCCCTCTATCCCCACCCTTCCTTCCGCGGCCACTGCGGGAAGTACCTATATACCTGCCTGACTTTGTCATGATTTTATTTATATTATTTTATAAGAAAAATGTCTCAAATTCCGGTCGTGACACATTTTTCGAGCACTTTCACTCTACAATATTTTCCATCATGCTACATAATTTCGTCATATGTACATACGTAATCTCGAGGAATTATTTCATTACTAAATTCCAATCTCGTCTCAGGTAAATACGTGGATCGGAATTCGGAGAGCTTTTTGTCTTTGAGCTTTGTTTTTGGACAGGTTGAAATTTTTTATTGTTGGGAAAAAATGATGACAAAATTCCAAACTATAAAGGAAGGAATTGTGTATTAGATATTTTTCTATTTTTACATATTTTCATATCGGATCCATATCCATAATCTTCTTGTGAAAAAGATGGTTTTATTCCCTTATTTGTCGTCTGTCTGATGAGAGGGTTCAGAAACTTTGGGAAGTTAGGAAATATAAAGACGAGCTGGGCATAGTTTTGTGTAGAAATTATGTACAAGAGGAGATCTGTACGAGAACATGTGTTTAGTGGCATGCCCTATTTTGCCCTCATTTAAAGTTACAAAGATTGATAAGGACTTATCCCCAAAATGTAGTACATCCAACTCTACTCAAAAATAGGAAGTAGAGGCATCTTATCAGGACAATCATCTCCTTCCGGCTAGACACGAGATTACATAAACATTTGCAGAGAAACGCAGGTTAAAAGAAGTGAAGAAGCAAATACAAATTCGCACGTGCCTAACTAAATTTCTTAACAATCTTTTATAATCGGTAGTAACTAAATAAGTAGAGATTTTAGAAATTTCCCTATTTCCATGTGGAACACTTCTTGTAAGAAAATACAAATTCCTACTTGCATAACACATCAATTTCTTTTATTTTTAATCGACACGAGCTATTACCCAAATAAGTAAGTCGAGATTTCCCATCTTTTCTTTATCCACAACACTTTTGTCTCTCGCTCTCTCTCCTAGAACTTTCTCCATCATAAGTACAATTCCATACATACATATGTAAAGTTAGTTACGAAATATGCATATGCATCCACATACATAATATACATGCATACATTATGTTACTCGTCGTAGTGGTGGTGGTGGTGGCATTACTTATTTCTCTCTATATATATACATCCCATGTAATTATAATACTTTGCATTTCCCCTCACATCACATTTCTCCAGCCAGAGTTTGTGTCATGTCATGTGCATGCAGCTACATCGTCGTCCTGGTTGAAGAAGGGCAACGACGACGACGACGACGACGAGTATCCATTGTCTATTCTATTCTATATTTTGTCCATATAAGTCGTCCCATGTTTTCATGAGGACTGGAGGTTTGGTTCACCTGCGAGAAAATGTGTACACACTTTTGTAGCTTCTTTCTCTGGATGGAGAAGAGTTCAGTGTTTTCCTCTGTTGTCCTCTCCCGTTGCCAGGAGCTCGGGGGGACAAGAGAGAGAGAGAGGAACAAAAACGAGAGACAAGACACTCTCACCACCACCATACCACCAGGCGCCGCGGAAGGGTGTGGGGACAGAGGGGGACGTTAATATTGTAGGATAGAAGGGTTTGTATAAGATGATGCAGACTTCGAATAACCGTGGGGACATTGTGTCCCCCCCCCACGGCTTTCCGCGGCCACTGCGTAAAACCACCACTCGACAACCCTCTGCCTGGTAAAAAGAGTCGGGAATACATCAGCTAAGCTTACAGGTTTTGAATTAAAGGCCAAATTCTGAGGAAATGGCAGTAGTTTCGCCTCCTCCTGCTTTCACTTCACCATACTTTACATACTTTACAAGAAGAAGGAGAAGGAGAAGGTGGAGAAGGGTGACTGGTGGGTATAAGGTGAACCTATGTGCATGTGTATACAAAGTAGTGAAAGGTATAGACCGTCTCAATCAGGAATGACAGCCAGACAGACGGACGGACGGACGTTGTAAAGTGTTTCGTTTCTTGCGGGTTTGCTACATGCATTTCTTGCAGTGGAAAGAAAGACACGCGAGAAATACAAGGTGCAAGAAACTGGGAGAAAGTTCGAGAAATATCCGCCATGCGCTCCGTATGAAGTATTTATCGCGGCGGGACCTAGGCTTTTGCGCCTTGCATTTCTCCCAGGTCAAAGTATTAACCTGCAAGAAACCACTTTCTTCCCCCCTCCCCCCTTATTTCTTGCAATTGGTTACTTACTTTCACCTGAAACACGGTGGACGTGTCGTACACATATTCTATAAACATATAAAAGGATACATACAATAAATGCAATTTTGGACTAAAAAATAAATAAAACGGTGAAACGATGCATGTTTCCCGATGGAGAAAAACGCACGCATCGTGGGAGAAAGTATTCACTTTATGTATTTATTTGCTAATCAGATACGTAAAATTGACCAGGTCTCAGGGGTTTATCCAATTTAGGCCCACGTACATTCATACATACCCAGCGGCCGTGGGGACATCTGGGGACATTGCCATGGTAGAACGGGTTAATGTAATATAGAACATGGGCAGATGATGCGGACATCGAATATCCGGGGAGACATCAATTGTCCCTTCGTCCACACTCTTCCACGGCCACTGTACATAAATACAGCCAAATATATTGTTTGGGTTGCTTGGTTGGTGGGTTGATGATTATTCTGACTGAATATGTATGCATTATTCTCTTATAGTTAGTGACTCTTGTTCTTGTTTTTGTGGTAGTGAAATAGCCGTGGCGGTGGTGGTGGTGGTGGTGAGGAAGCGTTGTTTCTGGGGTAATAATTGCGGTGGTGGGGAGGGAGGAAGGGAATCGGGTGCAGCAATTTCCAGGAGTCATCATATCATTAGTGTTATTACCTGTGTCTTCTTCTTCTTCCATCCAGAGGTGAATGTGAATGTGGATGTATGCATGGAATTCGGAATAAATGAGGAAATTCATTAAATCCTATTTCTTAGAATATGTACCTGGTGGATGGATGGATGGTTAGTGATGTTATCGTGACGTAGTGTAGGCAATCTACCGTCTAAACCAAGTATGCGTAATAAACAGGCGTAATGAAGTAGGGGAAGTTAAGGGTAAAATTTCTAAACCCTAAAATTTTATAGTTTTTGACCCTCCATCTAATCCCCAGGGTCAAACTACCATCAATTTGACCCCCGTTTAACCTATTTCGACCTACACGGTGACCTTTTAATGCGCAGCATACTTAGGAATTTAAAAAGGTTAAAAACGTACGAAAACGGACAGACAGACAGACAGACAGACAAAACTCGACCCTAATAAGTATACACACCTGGTTCCATCCATCCACGTTCCAAATAAATTTGATGGCGAGGTCCGATATGATTCAACAAAGACAAGAATATTCTCATTATTGCTCGAATAATGAACAAATATGCATATTTTTGGTCGTGCATACATAAGTGTTGTTAACGCCTTGTGCTGATTTTCGGGATGTCGCCACAAGTAAATTTTTGTGATCACACATTTCTACAATTTTCGGGGATTTTTACTTGATTATATTTTCGAAAATTAAAATTTTTGCTTGGAAATCCAGGCCACGTGTACGTAACAATCTACAAGTTATGTTTTTCCCATTGTTGTCAATGTCTTGTTCTCATTTTCATGATACCGTTACAACTAAATTTTTGATTTGGAGAACATGCATGAAATCCAGGTCACGTGTAAAAATCTGCACGTTATGTTTTCCTAATTTTTGTTTCTGATTTTCGTGACAATTGAATTTTTGCTCGGAAATTCAGGCCACGTGTGCAGCGTGGTACGTAACAACCTACAGATTATGTTTTTCTCAGTGTTGTTATCGTCTTGTTCTGATTTCTTCAATGACAATTAAATTTCTGTTCGGAAATCCAGGCCACGTGTGCATCGTGGTAACAATCTACAGGTTATGTTTTTCCTGGTCTGCCTGCCTGCGGTCATGGTCTCTCTCTCTTTTTCTGTGTGTACAATGGAATTGATTTCACGAATTGGCAAACTAGTTCGTTCCTCCATTCATGCATTCATTCATAACTCGGGAATATGTATGTGGGAGTAGCAGGTTTAATAAATATCAATTAATCGATGAGTCAGCAGCACATGGGACGGATGGAGTACCAAAAAACCACGACTCCTTCAGGTGCGGGTGCGGGTATGGATGGATGGAATCGATAACTATACTTTTTTTGCCACCAGACTATCTCCAATAATTAAGGGAACACACGCACCCACCCGAAAACAAAATGTGGTTCAGATAACCATGCAACAACCTTGACCACTTCTAAATGCGTATTGAGTCGACAATAAATATGTAGCATTTTGGAGTTGACATTTTTGAGTGGGATAAGCACTTATCAAATCATGTTTTGCTATGTATTAGTAAAGTTTTGTAATTTTAAGACGTGGAATTTTGGAAATTTTTAACCCAAAAATATCTAGTATATTTAATATTTCATGTTTTCAAGATTTTGGGGATTTGGAAATTTATGATAACCTTGGTCTTATCGGGGTATTCATAAGTTTGCAAATGCATCAACCCTCACGGCGTACTTTCTGGGGCTGTGCATTTCTTGCAAAATATTTACGTGCAAAAAAAGCACACTTTTTTGCACGTGGTTACTTAAATACACACGAAACACTGCTGAGTGATAACTCTAAACATGACACGGTTTTGATGGCATGCGTATGCAAAAATGGTCGCCATTTTCTTCCGAGTATTTGTATCCGCGTGTGCAAAAAAAAAAACATGCGAATTTCACATCCACGACATTACTAATATTGGCACGATATTTGTAAGTATGATAAGCATGTACGATAAGCATATATGATGTTATCTATGTATTTGATCTCCCGTGTGGTCACAAGATGTGCATAATGTTAATTATTTTTCTTCTTAACCTTGCTGTTCTAGGTAAGCAGTCGAGTACGTCGTGCGGGTATTCGTCCTCCTCCTCTGGCGGCGGGGGTGGGGGTGGGACCGGCTCTTCTTCTGGGGGTTGTGTCGGCGGGGGGCTGATGGGACCTCCGGCCGCGGGAGTGTCTCCTTCCTCCGCATCGTCGGCCACACCTTCCTCCTCATACGTCCAAGACCACCCCTTCGGTAAGACTAATTTATTACTCTCCTCCCACTTAAACAAAATATGCTCTCTCTCTCTCTTCAACTTTCTCTCACTCACTCAAGGGCTGCGGAACCATGTGTGCATATCATTGATAAGATAAGCAAAAAGGGGAGTAGCTTAACCTCTTAACCTGTTAAAAAATTCAGTTTTCATTGAAAAGTCCCGATTTCTGAGTGAAGATTTTCATTCACATTTAGTCATTTTCGTTCAAATTCATTTCATTTCATTTCTTACATACTTCACACCTTGTATTAATCACAGGGTGAAAAAGTAAATGGGTGAGAAATCCTTTCATTCACAGTCATTCATCTGAAATGAGGGAATCCTTCGGTCATCTTCATTCACATGACAGGAAATTCATTTCCATTCACTATCATAATCAGTCAAATGAATGAAAGTGAACAGGTATGATGGTATCAGTTAGTTTTCGGAAATATTCCGTTATCTACTAAATTACAGACCGCAATTTTTCATTTATCACTTGACTATCTAGCGTGCTAGATTTTTCGAAATATTACATTCCTTACTAAATAATTACATATATTTGTATAGCAAAATTATTCCACGAATTACATACGAGATCGTTTCCCATCCAGGTACATACATGCACAAATGTGTCTAATTATAGCCGAGATTTTTAAAAATATGTAGGTATGCCAGTCAGCGGAAATTTATTGCGTTGTAAAATCCAGGAGAAGGTTAAATTTCTAAAAATAAAAACCTTTAAAAACCGGAGGAATTTAATTTAAATATTTAGCAGAGAAACCTGTGTAATTGGTAGGGTAGGTAAAGTTTGGTATTTTGAAAAATAGCGAGATATTCAAGTGATAAAAAAACCGTTACAGAAATTTGGAAACGGGGAAAATAATGCATTTCTGGGGTTCCGCAGCCCCTGAACTTTCACTCATCATGTCACTTCACTCTCCTCACTTTCTGCATGTAGATCGTCTCGCTGTAAATCTGTTTGTAAATACGTGCACTGTAAATCTTTCGCTCTCTTTAAATTAGTATGTACTTGTTAGTTTTTAAGGTGTTTTTCTTATCTGTCTGTCTCTTCATGTTTCTCGAGTAACTTTATAAATCGGGGGAAAAGTCGTGTGAATGTTGTGTACTTATTGGGGAAAAAGTCGGAGTGGACCGACCTGCGTTTTAAAATTGGTTTGGGTTCTTAAGAAATTTGGAATTTTTTTTGGGAAATTTGGGAAATTCCCAGGGTATGAAATTTACATCCGTCCCGAGCATTAATTACAAGATGTATTTTGTATAGAAATATTGTTGTGTACATATGCATTACGTGAGGAAGTCGGGGTGGACCGAACTGCGTCTTGCGTAAAATTGGTTTGGATTCTTCAGCAATTTAGAAAATTTTGGGAAATTTTGGAAACTTTGGAAATTCACAATTTTCAGTTTACATCCCTCCTCCGCATTAATTACAATATACAACTCTAGGTGTATCAAAATACACCAAATTTTGAGAAAATCTCAATTTCCCCGTTCATCGGATACACATGAAATCTTACTCCTCAGCATCACTACGGGTACCTAAATAACCCAAATCTTGACAAAGTCTCAATTTCCCCGTCACTCCTCCTCATCTCATCTCACTTTACTACGAGAAGAAACCCGTCTTCTTAATTCTCTTCTGTCATATTCTCCCCACATTTTTGAAGTATGGCTTCGTCCTCTCCTCTCCTTCTTCTTGGAAATGGGCCCGTTTCCAGATAAAAGGTCGATTTAATTCGGATTCTTTAATGGAATTCAATGGGGCAATTTCGTATCCTTTCTTTCTCCGCGTGGTTGGTGCAAGTGAAGGGTTGGATTATGTCCTGCCCGAATTTTCACCACTTTCTCCCTCGTACGAAAAACCCGGGTGGTGGTGGTTGGTGGTCCTACATGCATAGTTGGCTTATCATAGTTCATACATGGTTGCCCCCATCACCACCTCATTATCCTCCTAATGGGCCGAGGAGACGTTGCCCCATTATGCACTCCCACTCCACCACCACCACCACTTCCACCACCACATCATCATTCTGTACATAAAAATGAGAGAAAGTTGCCTCTCTCTCCGCGGTCCGTCATGTCATGTCGGCATCTTATTACACCCACCACCACCGCCAGTGGCCGCGGAAGGGTGTGGACAATGTCGCCACGGTTGTTCGATGTCCATATTTATCATGTATAAACATGTTATAAATCCATCCCTTCAGTATCCTTAATGTCCCCCGGTGGCATATTATTACACCCAGTGGCCGCAGAAGGGTGTGGAAACAAACAGAGGACCAAGGTTGGTCAATGTAGGCTATACCTGTTCAAACAAACTTTTTTCATTCAAAAGTCAGTCATCTCGATTTCTGAGTGAAGATTTTCATTCACACTCATTTCATTTCACTTCATCTGACTTCATTTCTTACTTCGCTCCATGTATTAAGCATAGGATGAAAAATGAAGGGAGTGAGAAATCTTTCATTCACAATCATTCATATGAAATGACGGAATCCTTCATTCATTTTCACTCAAATCAGAGGAAATTCATTTTCATTCACTATCATAATCAGTCACATGAATGAAAGTGAACAGGTATGATATATGCATATATAAACCCGTCCCTCCCCTAGCATACAAAGGCAATGTCCCCACGGTTTCCGCGGTCACTGACCACCATCACTCCACCCACCTAGTAGATCATGTCGTGTGTTAAGTGTGCAAAATCAGAGCCAAGAAGAATTCTTGAAAGTGCATAACGTTGCCAGAACGGAATTGTGTAAACAAGGCTGGCTGACATTTTTTTTGATCGGGGTGAAGGGAACGTGTCGAGGTCACATGACACAAATGTTACGTCTCGACATCAATGACTGAATGAATCAGTCCATCAATTGGGATCATTAATCATTCCAGAAAATGACGCTACACGACACAACACACAACTGCAAAAATATGTGTGTAACCTGTGTCCTGTATGTATCGAGTCCTAATGAGATTAATAAGTATGGAAGCGATGTGATGATGGCAAGGAAATAGCTGCAGGACCAGCGGAACAGTGTTTGTTAGGGGGGATGATAAGGCGAAAATTCTGTGGGGACATTATTGTCCTTGATTAATGTCCGCGAAATTATTCCAGAATGGAAATTTTTGTGAAAATTTTCATCTCTTTTAAAGCCATGTGTGTGATTTCTGAAGATTTTAATGTGGAGACGGCGAAAATTGTGTATTTGTCTGTAAGGACATTATTGTCCTCGATTCTTGTCCGCAAAATTCCGCAAAATATTTTGATATGGTTAAAGTCTTCACTTCTTTTAAAGCGATTTCTTTAGAAGTTTTTCCAGAAATTTATTATAATTTTTTTCATGAGAACTCCCATTTTTGGACGAAATCACGCTTGTCACTTGTAACAAAACCGGATTTAATACATCCTCGTTAAATGGTTTTTGTTCATAAAATTCCGATTTTTCGGACGAAATCACCCCAAAAACCCGGATTTTTAATCCATATCCGTACATACTTACATGTTCAATGTTTAGTTCTATCTATTTACTTCGGCAAAAAATAGTTGCTTTTTTGCTTTAATCACCACCCACCCACTCCTCCTCATTTATCCTCCCCCACTATTTCAGTTGACTTATCTATGAGTTACCTTATCATATTTAATTTCAAGTTTTAACCTTAACATTTTTTGTTTATTTGTTTCATTTCCGTTTGTTTTTTGATCTTTGTAGATGTTGATCAATCCTCCTCCTCCTCGAATTATTACGGTCCTCCTTCCACCACGCTGGGTCATTCCATCACGGCGTCGTCCTCCTCCTCTTCCGACGCCACGCCCTCCATCCTCCTCCAACAACGCCATCACACCGTCCTCGTCGCCGCCGCCAACGTCAACAACAACAACAACATCAACCACACGAATGTGCATGGTAAGCGAGCGAGATGGACACGTCGTCAAAGTCGGGAAAAAATCAGACACGCGATTATTATTTTTATTTGCATTTGCATTTTTTTTCTTCCTGGTAAACAAAAAAAAACTTCAAAAATCGGGGGTTATCGAGATCCACATGCGTAAAAATCGAAAAAAGTCAGACACGTGATTATTATTTTTATTTTTATTTTTTATCTTACTGGTAAACAAAAAATCTCTTCAAAAATCGGAATGGACGCGACAGGAAAGTCAGGCGTCGTAGTCGTTGTCACTAAAAAATGCGATTATTAATATTATTATTTGCATTTTTTCCCTTCCTAGTAAGAAAAACAAAGTGTTAAAAAATCTCCGGGTCATTTTTTTAGTTGGTCCGACCACCTTGGAAAGTCAGGCTCCGTTATAAAACACAATTTTTAATATTATTATTTGCATTTTTTTCTCTCTCTCCTAGTAAAAAAAACTGTTCAAAAACCAGGGGTCATTTTTTCTGTGCGCCGATTTGGCATGATTTGGCCAATAAGTGAGGCATTTGGTTTGGTTTGGCCTCGTTATTCAAATTTGGACGAAAGGGTCAACTCAAACGACCAGCAGGAACGAAATGAGCCCAATTTCTTCCCGATTTCGAGCATATTTCTTGCTTTGTTGGTTGGATTTGTGAGGTGACACGGGCTTCGTGGACGTGGACGTCGTGACAGAGTTGAGAAATGGATGGCTGGAAATGTTAGAGTTTTAGTTGTTTTGTTGTTCAGCGTCGTGGTCGTGTTTGGACACTTGATTATTTTATTTCCCTTCTCCTCCTGTCCTGACATGTTGAAGGAAGGGAACGGGACACGGACCAAGTTAACGTCACCGTTGAGTGATTAAGTCGCTCCTTGTTTGAGCAACTATTTAATCAAATGAGGTGACAATTAAATAAATACGGACGGAGGACAAGTTAGGAATTTTGGCTATCTTGCATGGCTTCCAATCCAGTTCCACCTGTGTCCTTGTCCTTCCTGGGTTATAATTTGGGGAAAGTTTATCATTTCTTAGTTAGTATTTATTTTGTGGGGCTTCTTCTTCTTCTTTATTGGGAGTTGACGTGCCGGGGAGGAGGAAGAAGAGAAAGAAAATATGCATGAATTATTCATGGGAACGAGGAAGGAACGAGGTGGTGTTCCTCTAGTTGGAAGGATGCAGAGCAGGGTTGATGGGTGAACTTGGTCTTTTAAGCGAAGGGGGGAGGAAGATGACGAGGAAGTGGAGAAAGTTGAGAAAAATTGTTGTTTTCTTCTTGTCTTCTGGGTAAATATTTGAGGTTTGAAGGAAGAGAAGAAGAAGGAGGAAGGCTTCTTGGTCAGTTGGACACTTTTTAGTAGAGTTGTACAATCGGAGGGATACATTTTTGGCCGGAGTAGGCCTTAAATGTCAGACAGGGCATAGTATGTAGTCATATGGCGTGAAAATTGGTTCTGACGCCATAATACCATTAATGCCATACTATTGAAATATTAGACGTTTGAAGAAGAATGCAAGCTTCTTGGTCAGTTATGCACTTTTTAGTGTGACAAGTTTAGTAGAGTTGTACAATTGGGCAGAAGGCATTTAGGAGGCCTTAAATTGAACCATCGTAGCTAAAAAATTGCCGCTTTTTGATGGCATTAATGCCACATTTATTGGAATATTGGCCGTAAAAATATAGGAAATTTTATTTGTGAACGAGGCCATGACCAAGTACAACTCTATTGGATCGAGAAAAGTGGGAGAATTTTCATCCCTTCGGAGAGAAAAGAAGGGTGGAGGTGGACATCGAGTTTGGTAGAAAAAAGTGGAGTGTTTTCTGTTATTCTTCCATCGCGGTGAAAGTCGTTGAGGGTGTGGAGGCTGGTGAGATAAGGACCGACCTGCGTAAGTGAGTGAGGTTCCACTTTCACTACTCACTCACTCACTCACTCTCTCTGACGACAAGGAATATGTATGATAATGGAATAAAAAATGGCCAAGTGGACTCTGGACCAAATGGATGGACGCGTAGTAAAGTGGAGCAATTTCTCCTCTTCGTTGGGTGGACCGATGAGTGACAAATGTCAGACTTTTTAATACACAGAGAGAGAAAAAAAGAGAGATTTATAGCATATTTTCGACCCTATTTTATACCCACTTAGGCCAAAATGTCACTTCGTCATAATATTAGTGACACAGAATATGATATATTTTTCTGCAGAAAAAGAGAGACCTGGAAAGTCACGTGTGAAAGAATTTACCAGAATTTTTAGTCAACTCGTTATATATTTTTACAAAAAAAGAGACACGGCGAACCCAGGTCACGTGTAAAAGAATTTAGTTTAGTCAACTATTTCTGCCCATATTTACATATTTTTTACACAACCGACACATTGGTCATAATTGCAGATAATGGTGATGAGGCTGATAATGATGATGATGAGACTGCTTCTTCTTATCGACGCCGTCATGGTGGTGGCATGGTGGGTGGTGGTGTAAATAGTGACGATTCCGATGACGAGGAGGATAATTGTTGTGGTGGTGGGTATGCTTATCATCCTCCCCCCATCTTCGGGTGGACTTATCATCACTCTTCCCACGCCACTACCACCAAGTCTTCCATGATGCTTGAAATGTATCACCCTGCTGGTCACATCCCTTCATGGCGTGGGCATCATCCCTGCGACATCGTCGACATGCCGCCGCCTCCCCCACCACCGACACGATCGTTCGACCGGTCATTCTTCTTGTGAGTAAAAAATACCAACCCCACTCTTTTCTCAGCCGCCTAACCGCCGCCGCCGCCGTGTAGAAAAGTATAATAGAGCTGAGAGTATCGGGTTGGTTCGTCCTCGTGGGCAAATAAATAAATCAAAATTTCCATGAATTTCGAATCCATCACGTAATCGTCAAAATAAAAATAATTGGCCACGAGGCGAGCACACCTCCCTCTCTCACTTGTTCGTTTGATCTATGTACTCTCCAGCTTTATATGCTCGAGCCTTACATGTTCGTTGTAGTTTTGTTCTCTTAGTTTCTTGTTGTCTGTCAAATTTTCAAAAAAGAAAAAAAACGAAAAAAGCGGTTGAGAAAAGAGGGCAACGGTATTGATCAGGATACTCGGTCTTATCGATCTGTTATATCGACCTTATCATCATCATCGTCGTCGTCATCATCATCATCTTGCTCCATGTGTCTCTTTTTTCACTATATACATACGTAAATTAGCCAGTGACCATTACCCCCGCTTGACCAGTGGTCTTACGGTGTCGATATTTAGTGACGTTCCTTCCTTCATTCATTGACTGTCCTTTCATTCTTAACCAAGAAGGAAGAAAAAAAGGCGTGTTTTTTTTGGTGTCTGGGTCTCTGTGTCAAAGCCAAATAAATAAATCAATCACACCCTTCACAATCAATGAGTTGAATTGAATAATCAATGTAACTAATCAATAATGTGAGGCAAAGTGAGACGACGATAAAAGAGAAACCTCATAAATATCCTTCCCGTCTCTCTCTCTCTCTTTGTGCTGTAATTAATGTGAGTCCCAGTCCAGGTGGGGGGACTGGACTGGACGAAGGGAGGGGTAAATTAAGAGGAAGGAGAAGAAGATCATCACGTCACCTGGGGAAAGTGGGACGACGTTCTTTGGTAGAGAATGGAAAAGCCATCACTTTCCCATTTGTGAGTGAGCTATAAATCTGATCCAGAAGGGTGGTCGTGGTGGTGGTGGTGGAGATCTTGTAAGATTGGGGAGGAGAAGGAGATCAAGCCAGCCAGGACAATAAAGCGATCAGAGAGAGACGACATCAGTATGTCATTCGAGAATGTCGTCATGTCGAGAAAAACAGAGTCATCATCATCCCTTTCTTACTTACTCCATCCTTTTCTACTTTCTCAACTTTCCCCCCTGTCTCAAAATCAAGATCTGGTCTTGTTCTTGCTGCTGCTGCTGCATCCTCACGTGCTACTAAAGATGATCTCGACAAAATAAATGTCACATATGGCGTCTTTTTGTGGTTTGGTCTGCAACATACACATATTTATTTACACACATCGATCAGTAACTTGTTCTTCTTCTTGTTCTTCTTACTTAAAATGTAATTTGGGCCCAGTTTCAATTTTGGAAAAGACGCCGAAATCGTGATGTCGCCGCACAAAAGTATTGATGAAATGATTACGGAGAGGCAATTTTGAGACAGAGAGACGCATTATTATGGTAGACGACACATGTAGTGATCTTCTTACGTAAGATGCCATGCAATGAATGCATTTCGCTGTTGGGTTGGATGATGGCTTAGATTTTTATCTTTTATTTTTTCTTTCGAGGAATTTGAATTTGGAGACAGAGTGCTTTTCCAAATTTGTTTCCACCCCGGCAAAGCAAAAGTGTGAGGAGATTGGATGAAGAGAGTGAATATGTATGTATCCAGTTCAGCCCAGTTCAGTCCAGTCGGTGTGGATTGGACTGGACTCTGGACAAATAAATTCATAGCTGGACTGGAAGTGACCACTGGTCCGCGTTGGTTGGTGAGAACGGACCATCTGATGCAGCGAGAGAAAGCGCACCCCCTAAAACAACACTTTCCAATCAACATGGATTATAATGCAGGCAGCCAGAGAGCTGGCGAGGTGTTGGGGAAAGTGGGGAAAGTAAATACTTGTGTTTACAAGGAGGAGGAGGACGCTAAAATGCGACGAAAAAATTCTCCCGAGAAAGAAAGAGGATGAAACTTCTTCTCGTATACGGACAAGTTTTAAGATTGACCTCTTTTTAAGGAGTGAGACTATGTAGTCAATTGTATGGACATTCACATATGGATGTAGACTAAAGGGGTGTGGTGCTGCATATTTATTTAAATGATCTCAAGTGGGTGGGGATGGGCTGAGTTAAAGACAATTTTAGTATCACTTTCACACCGACTTTTCCAATTCGCTGTATGTATGTACTTTGCATCAGGGTCGAAGATTATTGCCTCGCTTTATGTGTGTATTTATATATGCATGTGTATGGATTTGTACCCTGTCACTTACATGCATACATTAAATTAAATGCACCCTCATAAAATTATTAATAGTAACAATTAAGTAGAAATTTGAAACTAATCTTGTCCATGAAATTTGAAGTTGATTTTGTTTTGTTTTGTGTTTCAGCATGCAAACGGAAGGAGGATCAAACTTCCACTTCGGAACATCCGCCAACCACGCCCAAGAAACCCAGACTCGTATTCACAGACTTGCAGCGGCGTACACTCCAAGCCATTTTTAAGGTAACTTATCATCCTCCTTACCAACTTGCGCCCCCTTTAACTATGATCCAAGTTAGAAAGATGTCAAGTATATATAGCTGTTATCATAACAAAAATATCAAACTCTGCATGAAACCGATAAGGTCCATGCGTTTATGCTTAACTCATGGTTATCAACTTGCACCAATGTTACAGTTCCTTTAACCATGGCGAAAATTAGCAACGAAGTCTTAGCCGTTATCATGACAAAAATATCAAATGAAATCGTTTAACGATAAGATACATGCATTTATACTTGACTCGTGGTTTGGTTAGAAACTTATACGCCCAGGTTCCTTCAACTATGGCGCAAGTTGCGTTACATAAAATTGCGAAAAATTCCTAACACCCATTTTTCTTCTTTTCTTCCTCTCCAGGAGACGAAACGCCCCTCGAAAGAGATGCAGGTCACGATAGCACGCCAACTGGGTCTCGAACCTACCACGGTGGGGAACTTTTTTATGAATGCGCGACGACGTTCGATGGACAAGTGGAAAGAAGAGAATGAACCCTCCCCCAAAAGCAACAGTTCCAACGCCGGGTCCACCACGCCCAACGGAATCCACGCCGGAGGGGAAAGTGACGACCATGACCATGACGTCTTGTGACCCGATTCACCACCACCACAAAATGACGACGAAGACGAAGATGAAGATGCCGATGACCATAATAATATTCACGAGTCAGCAGAATGAATAAATAAATAAAAATACGACCCTCCAAACAAAATACAGATAAAAAAACCACAACAAGTAGCCTTCTCTTTTACACACACCAAAATATTCTTCATATTCAGTGAGACAGACAGACACACTTTTTTATTAAGAAGCAAGCAAGAAACCAAAGAAAGAAAGCATGAAAATCACCAATTTTCCAGTCAGAGACAAATAATTTATGTAATTTCACTCAGATTTTTTGTTCAAAAAGCAACGTTTTGATCTCAGTTATTGTGTAAAAAAATATTGTTTAGTCAGAAACATTCCATTTTTAGTCAAGAAACGAAATATTAATTGTGTTATTTATGTTATGTTATGTATTTATCTTTTATTAGTCAGAAATGAGTTTAAAAATACGTGGAAAAATATTTATTTAGTCAGAAACATTCCACTTTTTTTAAGTCAAGAAACGAAAATGATTGTGTTATGTACTTATCTTTTAGTCAGAAATGAGTAATATTTCATTTTTTTAGTCGAGAAACGAAAATAATTATGTTATTTATCTTTTATTAGTCAGAAATGCGTTTAAAAATATATCTAAAAATATTTATTTCGTCAGAAACATTCCATTTTTTAGTCAAGAAACGAAAATAATTTATGTTATTTATTTAGTTATCGTTTTTAGTCAGAAATATTTAAGTTCAATCAAAAAATTCCGTAAATGCATTCCTATATTTTTTTAAATAATTTTGTGATCTCGTTTTCTAGTATATTTTGACAAATTGTTAAACATGTCATGTTTTGTTACACAATTTTGATACATATTTTTGTTAATTTTTAAAAATCTCTGGCGATGATCATGATCGATGATGACGACGATCTCGGTTTCTTCGTGTATGTAAAATTAATCGTGTATTAATTCTTATCATCCTCGCGCTTTCCTCCTCGTACATATTTACATAATAGAATTTCCTCCACCACCACAACCACACCCACCCAGTCAGTAAAGTATAAAAGTATAAAATAATAATATTCACAAAACGAAGTAGAAGATTTCCGACTTCTTCTTTTCACAAAAAGTCAAGTGTGTGACGTATATAAAATATGCAATGCAACCTTTATGAAAGACATAATTAGTGAAGAAACAAAAAAAAACAAAGTTTTTTATGTATGCAGAAATATAATGCATTACTCCAAAATCTTTCCAAATTTCCAGAAAAAAATGAACGATCTCTGATCTCGTACGACACTAAAAATAATACGTTTTCTATAATTGAGGTGAAATTAGAAGCGTTATTTGTTCCTTAAGGTCGTTTGTGAGATTGTGTCTCGTGGTAATTTTGGTTTTCTGAAATTTCCAACTTTAGAAATTTCCAGTTTCAGAAATACAACGGGTTGAGGATATAGTTTCTAATCCTATAGTATTCCTGAACTTTCATGAGAACCTAAAATTCTTAAAATTTTGAATTTCCAAGTTCAGAAATACTGGAAGATAACTTTTCTAGTATTCATGATTCATGAATCATGAACTCTGAAATTGCAGAAATGGGAACCAAAAATTCTGAAAATTTTGAATTTTCAAGTTCAGAAATACTGGGGGAATAACTTTTTTAGAATTTCTGAACCCTGATATTTCAGGGGAACCAAAATTTCCAAAAATTTCGATCCCACTCTCAACCAATAAGGAACAAAACTCCATGAAATGTCGTGTCCACAACAAAAACCCAACAATAATGGTGTTTCGAGCACTAAATATATATTTAAAAAATAATAATTAAAATTTAATTGGTATTACTTTAGGATATATATTTCTCTAATTAATTAATTAATTACCTAATTAATTAATTAATATGCCAGTTAAACAGCTACACTACAATTAAATACTTAACAGCAGCGGCATTCTTATCATCACCACCACCAACCACACCTTCATCTAGTTTTGTATTAAGAAGAAGAAAAAAATACTTAAATTAGTTAAGGTCTAAATAAACATATGATAAGTGAATTATCGATATTCATCCCCCCCCACCGGAAATAAAAAATACCTTACCTACCTTTCATTAGATAACCCCCCCACTTATCTTCTTGTCTTATCATCCCCACCCCCTATAAATGACTACCTTATCATCGTCACGATTCGTTAAATGGATGGATTTCAAGATAAAGAAAATTTACAATTTAACGATGACGATTTTAAACAGAGAAAAAAACCTCTAGTTTTCCATCCAAGTTAATTAATTAATTATTAATTAATTAATTACACTTTAACATAGTTTTTTTACGTATGTGTATCTAAAATGTAGGAATAATCGAAGAAAAACTTAATCAAAAACCATACCAAAGCCCTTATTCTTATTAAATAAATTAAGAAAGAAAAGTATCGACGACATGTTATTTTATCCTTAACGATAAGTCTAGCCAGAGATAACCATAGTTAGTTAGTTAATTACCAATTTATATGAAGATAACCTCCCCCCGTAAAAAAATGTGTGTAAAATTGGTGTAAAATAAGTGCAGAAATTAATTTCTTTTTCGAAAAAAATTGCAAAATTTTGCCCATTTTTTTGCGAACTTGTACAAAAAAAAACATTTTTTTATTTACTAATTACTTAGATGGAAATTTTGGAAATTTGGAAATTTATTTATTCATTTTTTGTAAAACTATACCCACAAATTTTTACCCATTTTTGTTGTAACTTGTACAAAAAAACATTTTTGGAACGTTGTCCTCTTATTTCCTAAATTTTATAATTTCGGAAATTTTGGAAATTTTATTTATTTTTTGAAAAACTACACCCACCACCCACCCACCAACCCACCTGGTACTTGACTTTAAGGAATTTAAGACATATTAAAAACTTGCAAGAAATAATAATGCAAAAAACAAAAACCTTCACAAAATAGTGGATAAGTACTTAAGAGTTATCAATAAAATTAATAATTCTTGTTCTTATACATAGTTTTAGTTGTTGTTAATAATTCAAAAAATGTGAATTGTGTGACACGATGATCATCATGAATAAAATTAGTAAAATGTAATAACAAAAAACCACACGTTAATTTACATAAATTTACGCCATGAAATATCCAAAGCAGCAAGTTGAATAATTAATTAATTAATTAATTAACTTAGAATTAAAATAAACTGTCACCGTTGCAGGATAATAATAAGTTAAGTGAGGATAAGCTATGATAAGATAAGAGTTTATGGTTACATTACACGAGTTAAGTGTAGTTAGTCAGTATATAAAAACATGTAAAATGTAATAAATAAAGAACGATTTCTTCAGACTTGAATACCCGATTAAAATTGTGTGCAAGTTTTATTTTTCCAAATTTTGAAACATATTTATTTATGATTCTTCTTTGGAGAATTTCAAAATATTGAGAAATTTTAAGGAAATTTGATACATTTTGATCACATTGCATTGAACACCCGATGAAATTGTGTGCTATTTTTTTGCAAAATTTTAAAGCATATGTGCATATATTTCTTCGTAGAATTTCCAAATATTTTGTAATTTCCATGAAATTTGATACATTTTTAGCAACCGTGGAATGCATGGCATTGAATGATTTCTTCAGATTTGAATACCCAATGAAAACGGTGTGCAATTTTTTTGTACACAATTTTAATTAAAACATATTTATGTTTCTTTACAAAATTTCAAAATATTGTGAAATTTCCATGAAATTTGATGCATTTTGACATTGCATTCACGATTTATTCAGACTTCAATACCCAAAAGAGGTAGAGGAAATTGTGTCCAATTTTTATTTTTCCATATCTGGAACACATACCACAATTCTTCACACATTAACACCCTATCTGCAAATTATTTTCCAAAATTTCAATATATTTCTTCACAATTTCCATGAAATTTCATACATTTACATTTACAGCAAGCATGTATACTTGCATTTCGTTGCATGGCATTGACGTGACATTGACGAAACCATCGCCTCATCCCTCATCCATCCATCCATCTGACTCATTGTATTCGTGACGCCAGCAGCATGCATTTTAGCGAACAAAGAAAGAACCCAACTACTACTTTTTTGCATCGCAGTTTTGCCAATCCAAAGGTGATGGCAGACCAAATTGCAAAACTATATACGCGATATACACACTTGCAAAAGACGCATTTCATCCAAAACCAAGAATTGCACGGGGTCATGCGGCCACGACGTCCGTGTAAACAAAGGCATCTTCAAATATATCCAATTTCCTCCAAAAACCCGAATTATTTCATATTCCCCCTCGATAGTCGCTTACCCGCTTATCTGTCATACTATCACCACCACCACAAAATCTATGCATCCCTGGATCAACTTACTGGTTCAGAATTTGGTGTCTGAGCCCCCTTTACGATCCCATTTTCGTCCCGATTTCGAAATCTGAGGTTACCTTTTTGACCCCAGATTTCACTTTCAGTTCGATTCAAATACTTTACAGGGGTAAAATTCGCACAAAATTTGCATATTGGGGGAAATTGGCACCCATTTTGCCCCACAAAGCACCAAGTTTGCCTCTACATGGGGCTGAATGTCACCTGGTTTTTGTGTTGTTGTGAACCAAGTCAGTCGTCAGTCCACAGTCAGTCCAACTGCTACGAATCCAACAAAGAAATATAACTATCTTATTAATTAATTAGCTAACTTAACTATGATTAACTAAATTGACTAAATATTCCTCTCTCTCTCTCTCTCTGCTCGAGATTCATTTCGCTTCTTCGCTAAGGTTAAGCACTTATCATCATCATCAGCAGCACATCACCCACGACAAGATCCAGACCACCCACGGCGTAAATAATCAGTGAAATATTATCATCCCTTATCATCAGCAAGATGTGACTTTTTTTCCCCAAAAGAAAAAAAAATCTGGATAAGTTTTAGATATCGCAGAAAATAAAAATTATGAAATGTCGTCGTCAATATTTGCTTGACAATTTATAATCTTATCTTGTTTTTCCTGCCGTGAAGGAAGAGATAAGTAGTGCTTACTTTTATAATTGATAAGTGGTTTAAACAGTTTAAATTAAACTTGCTGAGTAATAATTAAGTGGGATTAAGAAGAAGAAGATAAGAAGGCGGAGAAATTGAGGTGAGTGGACGGACTGTTTTGTTTATCTTTACGAAGAAATATTTTAATTAATTGAATCATCTCCATTAATAATTTAATCACAATTAAGAGTGAGTGAGAGAAGGGTTTGTTCAATTACTTTAATAATTAATGTCCTTGAACTGAGTCAGGGTCAAAGAACTGAAAATTTACGATCGAATTGTTATTCGTTTGTTTTCTGCGTCGCAATTGACGATATTAATTTAATTTGGAATTTGTAGTACCACTTAATAAACAAGAGTAGAATCAATTTAATGGAATTGAGGCATAATTAAAGTTAATTAATGAGGTTCAAAACCAGGTTCCAAGTTTAAACGTTTTACTACTCCAAGCTCCAGCTGCGATTGAAAGAAGAGATAAGTTGATGCTTTGTTATCGTGAAGCTAAGATTAGAACAAAAGATAAGAACAGAGAGTTCTGACGGAAATGGAACATAATGATGAAAGGTGAAAGGTTATCCATTCAATTAAATTGAAGTCATCAATCTATCCAAAAGTTTTGATACTTTGTTTTATTATTTCCTCTCCTCCAAACTTTGATTAGGTTTTGTTTACTTGACATATTTCTGAACCTGACCTGAAAGAAAGCTTTATCGGAATAGGTTGATAAGCTATAAGCATTCATGATAAGCATTCATTACTCTGAATTTAATGTTTTACACCAAAAATAATGAAACTCAACTTATATTTAATGTTATATAAACAAAAAAGTAATATCATTTCCTCCAAACTTTGATTACAAACATGACATATTTCTGAACCTGGAAAAAACGAAGCTTTATCATCCCCGAAATAAATTGATAAACAAGTATTGCTGATAAGCGTTCATTAGTCTGCAATGCATTTAATGTTTTACAACAACAAAACAAAACGAAACCCAACAACTTTCCTGTCGTTCGTAAGTACAGAACATAAACTGAAAAATAGATCATCATCACTGTTGTGTGACGTCGATTGTGTCGAACGTCGATTTTAATTGCATTACCCAGAATCACGAGGAGTTGTTTCTTTCTCGTAAACAACAATTAATGATGGACTAGTGGAAGTATTGACCACCTTTCTTTCTTTCTCTCTGTCGAGTTACTTACCTGGCATCAATCAATTAGTGAAAAGTGATTCAATCCTTTCTCTCTACTCTCTGGCAAGGTGAAGGTAAAGGTGGACGTGGACACAACCAAAAAAAAGGACAATGGATTGTTTTGTTTTGTTTCTTTTGTTCTCTCAATCGGATAGATGAAGTAAGCAAAAGTAGTAAAGTCGGAACGATAGATCGGGGACAAGAACAAAATTGAGAGCAGTTTTGTTTCGTTTCTTTGCGGATTTCCTACATTTCTTTCACTAGAAAGCAAGAAATCATTTCTTGCATCACATTTCTTACATTTTTTTAGAAATGTGAAGTGCAAGAAACTGCAAGAAATATGCCACACGTCGTATGAAGTATTTACAGCGGTAGTTTCTGGCGTCTTGCATTTCGTGGGGGTCAAAATTGAAAAACACTTTCTACCCGTTATTTCTTGCAAATGGCTACTTTCACCTGATTCCAAGGAAGGCAAAGAATAATTTAATGGGTAGGAAAATCATATATTTTTCTGGGGTGACAATATTGTCCTCGTATTTGAAGAACAATCCTAGGGACATTATTGTCCCCTTTGTTCGGCAGGCTCTGGTCTTCAAAACTAGTAACAAAAGTCATCTTCTAAACGATAAATTTGGGATAATAATGTGTAAAAGGGGAAAAATTTAGATCCTGGGGACAATATTGTCCCCATGTTCCGCCCGCTCTGGTCGGCATTGTCCAAAATTCCACTTTCTTTGCAGAATTTACTTGATATACGAGTACTCGTCCACTCTCAAAGAAGGTTGCTCACAATTGCAACTACTTGTTCCTTGTTCCTTTACACAATCGAGTCCAGAGTTCAATCCAATCTACGCTCCGATCCGACCAAAGTGAAGTTTACGACATTTCAAAAAGCAATTTTACATGTGTTCAATGAATGAATGAATACATCTAAAATGCAAACTTTACTTTCCCCGTGTAGAAGAAACTTTGTGAGGAAAAGGAACCGACAGGGATCAATACTTTTATTTTATCTTCTATCTATTTGCGTAATGAGGTCAAAACACTTAGGCTAGTTTGCATCAAAGGGGAGAAAAGCCAATCATCACCAATTTATTTATGTAACAAAGTTAGCAAATTGTCCGTGGGGTGGGTGCGTGGGTGGGCGATGAATTGGATTAAATTGGATTAATAAATAATCCAGTTATGAATAAATCCAAATTGGAGCCATCCGGGTTAATTAATTCCGTAAATATGGATGAATGATGAAGGACGTTTCTGCTAAATTGTTGTGATGAATCGATTATTTATTTGCACAGGGCGGATATGTATTTTTGAAAAGAAAAACGTTAAAATATTTACGAAACATATATAAAAAACATACACATTTTTACAAACTTTTTCTATTTTTGAATATAAATTCTCCGGATTTTGTGTGGTCCAACCTTATCAGCCAAAAAATTTAGTCTTTCACATCGCTTAAATTTGAAATATTCACAAAATATATACATACTTTGGAAAAAATATTTAGAAATATTTTTTAAAATGCAGAAAAATAAGAATTTTAGTAAAATTTGTTTTTCGGAATATGCTCTGGATCTTTTGTCATCCAATTTCTTTCAGTAAAAAAATTTCGATCTCATATCGTTGAAATATTTACAAAATATATGCGTAATTTTGAAAATAAATATTTATATATCTGAAAACCTAGAAGTAGTTCTAATATGTAAACATATTTTGAAAACTTTGTGCCCTATGCGAGTTAGGGGACACGCCCATAAAGCTTTACCGTCGGTCTAAATCCAACGAAAATGTTGGAAATCGATACATATCCGCCCTTTGTTTATCTGCCATACATGTCATGCACATTTTTTATCCTTTTATTTCTTGGTAGGTTTCCGATTATTATTTATTTATTTATTTATTATTTATTGTCGTACTTGAACTTGCATTTTTTGTATGGATCGATTATTCCCCTCAGACCAAACCAGACCAGGAAAGAGAGACGAAGAATAATACAAAAAATTAATGATCCACTTGAATCGTGAATGTTATACAGTTCGGCAGCAGAGTAGTTGGTTTGGTTGGTTCACAGTGATTTATTATTCCCCACGTGCATTCTATTCTCGATAAGACTCTTATCATACATAAGAGCAGTTAATTAAGGTGGGATAACTCAGACATAGATTTTTAATCTCACTCTACCCCTGTTCAATCTATTTTAATGCAAATTTCTTCTAAAATTTGCATTAATTTCGAGATAAATTCAACTTTTCTTAAGGTAATATAATGTACAGTTAATTTTTGGTACTACAAAACTTAACTATCGATTTGAAAAAAATAGCAAATTAATTTTTCAGGAAATTTATTGTTAAAAAAATGGCAAATGAATTAGCAATGTTTTTATTACTACAAAACTATTGATTTGAAGAAATTCATTTTCGAGGAAATTTATTGTGTAAAAAGCCATTTTAGAAATTTTCCCTTAAACAAATGAACAGGGATGGAGTGAAATTAAAAATCTATGCTACACATCAAATAGTACCTTATTTAATTGCACTTCATTATTTTCATTTCTTGGCTGCTTCTAGAAAAATATTATCCTTTTGTTCTCCTTCGTGTAACTTGACGCCGTTTCTATTTATTTCTTGCACCGTGAATAAATACGCGACAGCACGGTTCGTTGTTCTTGTGGTGGTGGTGGTCTGGTCCTCCTCCCGTTACTTATTATTCCGTTCCTTTAGAACAGTGGCCGCGGAAGCCGTGGGGACATTAACATTGTAGGATAGGGGAGGAACGGGTTTATATAAGATGGGGAGATGATGCCGACATCCAACAACCGTGGGGACATTGTCCATCTTTTGTCCCCCTCACCCTTCCGTGGCCACTGCTTCTTTAGAATGATTATATTTCTCAACAACTCGCTCAACATAAGGATTCCTTCTTCATCTTCTGGAATAAATCTGCATGAAAATGAAACACCGTCGTCGTCGCGAGTTGAGTTCATTAGAATTAGAATTGCTTGGCTGACTGGCTTTGTTCGTTAGTTGAGAGACTCTCAACTTGAGGACTAAATACAACTTGAGACATTATTTTGTCATATTCGTTTCTGCTTATGGTTTGATACCATCTTCTGATGGCGAGGAATGATACAAAGCTTTCGTAGGACTTCGAATGAGAAAAAATGTGATAAAGATTTTTTTAAACGATGAAAAAATGAATACAAACTTGATTTTTGTTTCTTTGCAGGGATAAGAAAGTCCAGTTTCTCGGGAGAGTTGCAATTTGTCCGGAGAAGGAAGGAAGGAACGCTTGTCCTGTTCTTGTTCTTTTTGTGCCATAGAAGTTGAAATCTGGACATCGGTCAATACTAGCGAACTACTGCGTGTGCAATAAAGACTCGTCACTATCGAAAATCGGTGCTGTTGGAAAATAAGTTTCTACAATCTCAAAGGACACTGGTCATCACATCACAGAATCTAACGGATCGTTCCCACCACCATTTTATTTGCTCCCTCGTTCACTGCCCCCTCCCCAGCGTGGAAAAGAACGAAGAGATTATAGATTGTTCATGGGGAATTGCTTATCCCATTTCTGGTAAGAGCAACATAGGACTGGATAACTCATCGTCAAAATCGTAAACATTTTTAATCATTTCTCTGGGAATTTATTTTAAAATTTCTGAACCATAAATTTTTGTTGCAAGTCATTCACAATTTTATAAAAATATACACTCCAGATTTTGACACTTTTTGACGGAAGAGATCTCAAGTTTAGGAAGCCTTCAGAAAAATTGGAACTCATCGAAACTAGCTCAAAAAACCCAGCGTCATTCCATTAATCAACTCACTGACTACAAATTTGTCGTTCAGAATTTTAAGATAAATTCCCAGAGGGGAGAATTGATTAAAAATGTGCTGATTTTGATGATAACAATTTCAAATTGGCGAGGAATCACACTAATTTTTTTCTTTATGCAGCTCAGCCATGGGTAACTGCTTGAAAGGCTCTGCTTCCGATGACGTGTCCCTGCTTCGAGGAGGTGATGGAACTCGAGAATCCCTCTCCAGCGATCAGATTCATAGCTCAGAGATTTTCCATCAGCAGTTGTCTGTACGGAGTTATTTTATTTTAATTAAATCCTTTAATAATTATAAACTATAGTTATATCGTGGGTATTCACGTTCCTTCGCAAAACATCTTGGCATCTTTGCGATTTTTTTTGCGAAATAGGACCTATATTTCGCAAAAAAATAAAGCAATCCGTAGCTTTGCATGTTTGCGAAATCGGTGTCGTGAATATTTAGTAGTTCTGTCTTCTGTCACACCGTAACTCTTCGCAAAGTTGCAAAGATACGTTACAAAGCGACGTTTACGACGGAGTTTAACGTGAATACCGACATTGTCTGCATTTAATTGTAATTAATTAATTACTAATTAATAACTAATTATATTTAGGAATCGAACGTGCCTGAATACTACCCCTCGCCAAACGTCCGCCGCCCCCTGAATCAATTGACGGAGGAGGAACAGATAAAAATTGCCAAGAGAATGGGACTCATACAACACTTGCCTTCCGGCGTTTTTGATGAGTCTGCCAAACCCCGAGAGTGAGATTAGAGTCTAAATTTGATCTTTTTCTGGTTTGAGTTCATTTTCGAAATTTAATTCCAGATGCGTCATCTGTATGATTGACTTTGTTCCTGGGGACCGAGTCCGGTACATGCCTTGCATGCATGTCTATCATGTCAAATGCATTGACGATTGGCTGATGCGAAGTTTTACGTGTCCATCTTGGTACGCAAGAGAGCAATATTTTTAAATATATGATGCACATTTTTGTAACCCAGTAGTAAAATTTACAAGCGTAATTTCTTCAAGTTTGATAAGATTACGGAGGAAATTTAACATAGAACTCATTACCAAAATTGTTAAAATTTCAATCGTTTCACCACATTTTTTTATCATTTTTCACCTCTAGGAATTTATTTTAAAAGTCTTAACGACAAATTTGTAGTCAGTGAGTTGATTAATGGAATGGCGCTGAGTTTTTGAGCCAGTTTTGATTAGTTTCAGTTTTTCATAAGGCTTCTTAAACTTAAAATCTCCTTCAAAAAGTGTCAAAATCTGGACTAAATATATTTTTTTAATTGGGAACCACCCGCTCTATAAATTTTTAGTCCACAATTTTAAAATAAAATTCCAAGGCGGAGAAATGATTAAAGCTGTGCTGATTTTACGATTAACGATTAACGCTGATTAAAGATTTTGGTGATGAATTATCGAGTCCTACGGTAGAAATGTACTCTAAACCTGTCGACGTCTCTATATTTGTGTTAACTTTACTGGGTTACAAACATTCTCCTTAATTACCACCTTATCTTATTTCATCTTATCCCATTCTTTCTTCCAGCATGGAGCCCGTCGACGTAGCCCTGTTTCTCACGTATGAAACGAGCGGTCATCGTTAGCAGAGGAGGGGAGAATAAATGACTACAAACGAAAAGCAACGCAGTTACGTCTAATTAATTTCAAACCGAACCCATCCTCGCATGGAGAACTGTCTCACAAGAAAGAAAGCACAAAATTATTCTTCCCTTCTTTTTACCTACCGGAATTTTAGCCAAGAACAAGAACAAAAATCGAAAATTGTTTACTTATTCTCCTCCTGATCGTCCCCAACCAGCCAAAAAACAACCGAAACCTATATAGCATACGTAAATAAGGGGCACACCAGTCTTCTACCTACTTCTACTACTACTCTCCTCGCATAATAATATGTAACAATAGTCAAAAAGTGTACTAAATTGTCCTCGAAATGTGTAAGTGAGCTGGAGATATGGATAGAGTTGTACTTATGCTCATGACATGAAAATAAGCCCCATTCTCGTCATGTTTATGATAACCTTGGTCTTTTTGCGGGTATTAATTTGGGACAAACGAGTCAAGTCTTAACTCAATAAGTAAAACAGCGCATCAATTCAGGCAGATCTTTATAACATTGTAAAACCCGTAAATTCCGTAAACTTACAAAATTTTACTCATATTTCGAACAAAATGTAGGTTACAAATTTTTGTAAGCTTGCAAATCAGATTAAGGGCGTCACATTACTTTGAAAATGTACAAAACGAATGGATTTTACGAGTTACCAATAACTGCGTGAATGGGCTCAATATTTAAATGCGATTCATTTTCGTTTTGGACAAATTTTACATACACGACGAAACACCACTGTTTCAGCAATTGTTCTTCAACTTTGCAAATTTGGTGTGACTTAATTTTAATTTTATGTCATCGCTGTACAGGGATCTTATCAAATTAAACAGCACCGTAAATATTTAAACAGAAATATCCGTAAAATGTGCCCAAAATCTTAATGTTTCATTAAGTTCCAATGTTATGAGCATAAGTACAACTCTACTCACATTCCATTTCCATACTTAAACATCTTTAAAATTTAATAACCACCAAACTCTTACCCAATTTACTTACAGTTTTCTATTTCAGCTCTTCTGAAAACGTCTCCCCCCGCACACACCTCGCCTCGAATTGATTTTATTTTACTCCACCACTCAACCAACTCGAAACACACGTCCAGTCCATCTCGAAATTGGTAAAATGAAACTTACTTAACGTACATAGAGATCAAAAAAGAAATGAAATGTAGTACTTGTCATTATTTGAAATGTAAACTCTTATCTTATACATATAATTTGCATAATCATTACTAAATTGTAACCTTATCCTTACTTACTTATCTTACGTAATAGTACTTGTCAAATTTTTGTTACGAGTAGTAATCAAAAAGAAATAGTGAGAAAAAAACTACATAAAGTAAGATGAAAAAAAACCACTCGCCAATCTTATCGGGCTCGATCCTCCCCGATAATTATGATTAAACTTATAATTATGCATATTTAATTATAACTACGACTCCATTTTATTAAGGAATACGTTTTTCTTACCGTGATCTGATGAAACAAACTAGTTATTGAAATGTGTGATGTTTTTTTAGGATAAGGTTAACTTGATAAGGACGTATCATTAATTTTAAATAATTGCTTATACAATTCTTCTTAAGCTGGGTTTATATTTACTTCACTTCTTATATAGTAACTTGCGCCAATGTTGTTGTACTTTAACTATGGCGCAAGTTACCAAGTATAAGCGCAGGTGAGAATTGTGGTTATTTTTTTAAATTAGTTACTTACGCAGTAATTTTTCTTGGAGGGTATGCTTATTTACCTTATTTAATTAATAGACTTATCTAATTAAGTAATAATTTTACCTTGTATGTCTTATCATCTGAAGGTAAAAAATTGTTATCAAGTAGTGTACCCAGTTTATCGAGTAGGTGACGATTCGTTATCCATCGTGGTAATAATAATTGTTGAATTGATACGTGGTTACTTCCACCCGAAACACTGATTCTGACCTAGGAAATCGTTACCTACTTGGTTACATACACTGCTCGGTAACAATTTTATTACCACGTTGTATTTCTATCCTTACTTACTTACATATTATGTAACTTTTACTTTTACACCACAACTCTACGCAACTGTCTGCCTGCCAAACTCTCAGTCTGGCCAGGACTCGGCGTCGTAGTGTCGTCGTGGTGTTTGGGGAGTAAGACTTGTCGCAGTATTTGTACATTTCCGAACACGAGAGAGAGATCACATTAACTAATGAATAAGTAAGGAAAAATTCGAGTAAAAATAGGAACCATTTTTATACAAAAATTCGCGATAATCGGCTTAAAATTGCATCATTGTTGGCTTATTAGCAATTAAGTAAGTAATTTTTAGCAAGTAATTTACATACAGAAGAGCAAAATTATATAGGATGAAATGCCAACAGAGATTTATGTACATCGTGAAAGTGAAAGTGAAAAGGGTTAAAGTATTGAAAAATTAATGTGCAAAAAATTCGCGAATTTTTCATACGTGCAAAATTTCTAGGACTTTTTGGACAGTTAATTCTGACAAGTGCAGACTTCTTTTTTGTAGAAAAATTTGCCAATTTTTGGCACATCGATGTCCGATACGGTTTACGTAGTTTTTGCTTACAAGTGCAGACTCTTGGAGGTCTATTTTGCAGAAAAATGTGCCAATTTTTGGCACATTAATTATTTTCAATGTGTAGTTTTTTGCTTTCCGTTTCTCCATGAGTGAGCTTTTTGTGTTAAATGTTACTGCTAAAAATTACTAAATAGTTAACTAAATGTACTGACTACATTCCATGTTGCTGTTGTTCTTCTTAGCAAAGTAGTTAATTAATTAATTAATTAGTTAATTAGTTGGCCAACAATATGTAAATTAGAAGATATGTATTCCAACGCGTTGTAAACTTTAGTACTTAACAAGAAAGAGGGAAATTATGTATCTAATTAATTAAGTAATTAATTGAAGAGGAGAAAATATACATACGTACTTTTTATTCCTCCAAAGTCGCATGGAGAGGGGGGAAGGGGGAGGAAAGAAGGAACATGTAATTTAAGTATTGGACTGATTGAAATGTGTGCTTATTAGTAGGCGGAGGAGTAATTAATTGTAATTAATTTAGGGGACGATGACTATGTAAAATGGAGGTCTCGGAGCGTATGCGATCCGATTTTTGGCAAAAAGTAGTGTCAATCTATCGCGAATTTGATTAGTATGAAATTTGCGAAAGACACGATCTCCCAATGGGCACGTTTGGCCCAGATATTTGCATCCGAAGAGGAGAAAACGAGCAATAAAGTCGACAAATTTTACAATTTTCAAATTTACTGCGCATTTTCTCCTCTTGGGATGCAAATATCTCGGCCAAACGTGCCCATTGGGAGATCGTGTCTTTGGCAAATTTCATGCAAATCAAATTTGCAATCGATTGACACCAATTTGCCCAAAATCGGACCGCATACGCTGAGAGATCTTCATTATTTATAGGTATACATTGTTACTTTTACTATAATTATGTCGCCAGAGAACATAAGATGAGAGAAGGAGGGGAAGATTGATAAGTTGTTATCGGAAAACAACGAGAGGAGGGTGATGAGGTGAGCGTAATGATTCTGATTCGTTAAGAAAAAACTAAGATTATTTAATGTAAGTATTTACTCTAAACTGAACCGATATGTCCGACAATGTCTGTATTGATTTTTAAGTCTAATAACGTATGTACGCATGTAATGAGAAGAAGGAGGAGGAGGTAACAACACGAATAAATAAATCGCGGTATTTACTTTTCGCAAGAAAATCTATAAAAAATCCTTGTTCAAATTTTTAATGCGAAATTAATTATTCTTGAACCATGATCATTCAGTGGATGTACTAATTTCGGGTACTAATTTGGCACAAAACATGCTTAATGAATGGGCGTCAATTAGTACTCGTAATAAGGTACTTGTGCAGCTTTGGGTAGACTTTTTTAGCCAAAAAGTGCAATGAATTCATCCTGTTGTTGTTTGTTGTTAGGCCAGAGATGCAGATGCAGTTCGGACTTTGCCTCTTTTTCCTCTGGCAGATTGACAATAACTGCAGTGCATGCACGCCATGGTAGTTTGACCAGATCAGGCAGCCGCATCATGATACCTGATGCATAGTGGGAGTGGACAGTGCTTCGGGTGCAAGTACTTAACCAGAAATAACTGCAAGAAAGTGGTTTCTTGCAGGGGAATATTTTGATCTGGGAGAAATGTAACGCGCAAGAAACGACGCCCCGCCGCTGTAAATACGCCATGCGGCGCGTGGCTAGATTGTGCATGTTTCTGCCACTTTTTTTGCAGTTTCTTGCACCTCTCATTTCTTGCATTGCTTCCTTCCCGGTGCATGAAATGTAGCAAACCCGCAAAAAACGAAACACTGCCAGTGGACTTTTGCCTCGCCTCCTTAGCAGCTATTTGCTATTTGGTTCGTGTAATAGCAAAAAGCGCTGCAATTTTAAGCAAAGATTCATCACATCAGCGGCTTTTAATAGTAAAAAATCGTGCAATTTTAATTTAAAGATTCATCCCGATTAACAGCTTTTTAAATTTTGTTGTTGTTTTACTCCTTGCCAAATTTCGTGAGAGTATTAAATCCCTCAAAATCTTGATTAAATCTTGAAGAAAAAAGTATCTTGACGTCATCTAATACTTGATTAATTCTCCTCTCCATATTTACTTTGCCTAATGTCATTGTTGTCTTTACACACGTGAGGGGATAACATTTGACAAAACCTGCTACATAAACTGGTACTATAATTACCGTATAATCGTATTTATGCCACCTCATCAATCATCAGTATACTTATCATTCTACCATACCAACTATGGATATTTACCTTATGCCACCTTATCCACTATCCGGTATGCTTATCATGCCGCCCAATCAATTATGGGTACTTAAATGGGGACTTAGCCTGACTAGAAAAACTCTATAAAACAAACAAGCATATTTTCATTGTAACAAACAATCTCGCATTCATTTATTCAAATAAACAATTCAATTTAAAAAAACTTTAAAATTTAAAACAATTGCGATAACAAAATACGAATTATTAACTATTTTTAAAAATGACTTCCCCGTTAAACAGAGACCGGAAGCTTTCTGCCTTTAAAACTATATTTGTTTCACTAACTAGATACAACTACAATGTTCTACTCTTACTACTCTAACAAAGTCAAATTGCCTAATTGGAGTCGCAATCATAATAAGTATAAAAAACAATAATATCAATATTGATATTATTGTTATTGTTATTATTGTTTATTATTAACTACCATTGTTATTTAACAATGGTAGTTTTAATGTTTATAAGTCCTCCAAGATCTGAGCCCATATCACATTCATCTCGTAAAATTTTATGACCTTGTGCGGTATCCTTTCGTTGCATTCCTGACGAGGAATCGCCTCCATATCGTCGCGTTCTTTGTATTTCACGACGAAGCGGAAATCAGCATCGTCATCCGCACCCTCCTCCTTGCAAACTGCGACGATATCCTGCACCCTCCAACCTTTTACCAGCCCGCTCCGACCCGGCTTCGTTATCTTGATTACCTTCTGTCGATAAGGTAAAAAAATGAATCAATTAATAATGTTGACGTTGATGGAGAATGAGTAAGGAATTTTTGTGTAACCACCTTCTTCTTGGGAGAGGAGGAACCTCGGCGGGGGTCTCGGTCGAGACGATGGGAGGGACCAGGAAGAGGCTCATCTTGCCTAGCGGGACGGGCTTCCTCTTTCTTTTGAGAAAGTTCAGAACCCTTCTTTTCTGTCTTCCCGACTGGTTCGGAAACTTTCTTGTCATTCTTCTCGATAACTTGGGACGCTTTCTTCTCCGTCTTCTCAGTTGATCCGGTAGGTTTCTTGTCACTCGCCTTGGCTGGTTCGTCAGCGCGCTTATCTTCTTCTTTCTGAGTTCCTCCTTCTTTCCGATCTTTCTTCGAATCGGCTCCAGTCATGCTCTCTTCCAGTCTTGCCGGATACCTGCACCTTTTCGGATTTCCGACGTTTCCCTTCAGGCTTGACCCTTCTTTGTTTACGTGTTTTCTGGAACTCTTCTATAAGATCGTAGCAAAACAGACCGGTAGCCGGCTCCCAAGTGTTGTCCTCCCTATAAAGATAAACCAAAACGATATCAACCAATTCATTATGATAAACCTAGTTCAAAATGAATGATTATATCATTATTTGACTCACTTTGGGTAATTCTCCCATTTTACTAAGTATTCCAATTTGCCACGGACCATCCTCTGACCCTGTATCGCCTCCACCATATAAATATTTGGGTCAGCGGGCTCTTCTTCTTCTTCCTTGCCGTCGTCATCGTTGCTGCTGGAGGACGATACCGGCGGTGCTGGGACCTTCTTCCGGTCTCTCCCCGTCGCCATCACATCGACCATGACGATTCCTGAAGGGACGTCCTTGTCGTCGACCGCCAACTCAAGTTTTTCAGTAGTATTCGAATCCATCGTTCTGTACGTACAAAGAATTAGCATAAATTACAATCAATCAATTACTGAATAATAGGTAAAACTAGTTGTCCTGAAATGATAAATGATTTTAAAAAGGAACCACTAAACCATCATTTACCCTTTTTTTACTTCGATCTAACTCAATTTTTAGAAGGCAAAACTTTTCTTATTTCTGACTCTTCTACCTTTCGTTAACTTGGTAAATTTGACGTAGAAATCGAGACTTTGGAATTGAAAAAACGTTCGAAACTGCTTTATTCTAAACTTTGGCCCAAAAAGTAGGAACCAAGGATAAAAAGTTAATCAAAGTGGGCACGAGGCAACAGCAGCAGGAAGACGAGTGAGAGGGATCTGAGAGCAAAACCGGAGTAGTAGAGGCCGGCAGATGAGAAAGCACGCAGCTCGCCTCGTTGGCATATTCCGATTGGTGATCATGCAAATGAGGAGGGGCCAAACGTACCACGTGACCTCCGTGAAAGATTGGGGTCGTGGGACGTTTGAGATTCTGGGGCAAGATGAAATACCTGCATGGAAAAGACGCTTTCCATGAAATTCCAGGGTCCTTCTTCTACTCATTTTCAGATCTTGAGGGCCTGATTGCGTCTCTAGCATTTGCCCCCACGCCACACCCACTCGAGGGGATGAAAAACGTGAAAAAAGGCATGTTTTCAAAAATCCTATTTTGCTCTGATTTTGACAGTTTTCACATTTCTGTGATCTCAACATGAAAACTGTCAAATTCAGCAGAAATCTCAACTTGTATTATCGAAATGTATGTTCAGGAGATTCAATCAAAATGGGATTATCACAGTTCAATCAGACCCGAGATAATATGCTAATTAATGATCCTCTTATCCCAATTAATTAAGCGTTGTTTAAAATGTGCACAATTTTAGTTTCAATGAGTAACTTTATGTGTAAGTATTATGAAAAATAATTAAGCTCATAATTAACTAATTAGTAAACTTTGACACTGCCCAGCAGGGGGCACATCTTAGCAAACAGTGTTTCAAACAGAAAATAGTTCCATACGCCTCATGAACGAATCCCGTGACGAAAGGTTTCTACACCTCCGGCCGCATGAAAAAGTTACTTGTAACGAGAGAGGAAGAATTCTTTGTTTCACATTTTCATTACAAAAGTGATCAACATTGAAATCTTTATTGTTAAATTAGTACTTATTTAATACTTAAATAAGTACATAGGTTTGCAAACAAGTATGCAATTTATAATTTCGTATTTTGTAGTTAATTTGCAACGTTTCACAATAAAATGAGAGATGACATGAGCATCCCATTACATTACATTTGTTATTACGTTCAATTTAGTAATAATTAGAATCATATATTTAGTTATCACTTATCACATTCGTACTATTTTTGTTAAACACACTGTTAACAATCTGGTAGAGCCACATATATATTCCGCTAAGGGATAGATTAGGTAATAACTTCCTACCGGATTTGTATAGTGATTGAATCACTATCCCAATGCACAATTAGCATTGTGACCCCGATTCTCATCAAACACAATCTCATCAAACACAATCTATGTATGAGTACATAGATGTATTAACGATCATTACCAAGGGGTAATAATCGTTAATACATATATGTACACATAGGTATATGCAGAGTCATATATGTATTCCGGTCAGTGATAGTTTAATACCAATTGTGTTTGATCTGAATCGAGATCACCATTATTCCCATGGACGTGGTCATCATGCTACCATCGTCTCATTCTCATTACCGATTTACTGGACATCTCTCCAATTCCATGCGTTATAATATGCAAAGCAAGGAAGCAATGTAATGAATCACACAATCAGACTGATCTAGATTTATTTTGATAAACAGATTACACTAATAAATATTTATTTAATACCAGTTTTCTAAGAGTGTCGATAAGCAACGTATCAGCCAGCGTTGTTCGCGTATTGAAAATTATGCCATGAGATGTGCAGTCAGAGCCGGATTCTGTTACTGCAATTGTTCTGCGATAATGTTCATTAAGTTTCGCCATAATTCACGATACGATACAATGCTAAACATAAATGGGTATGAATACAATGACCGCGGACGCCGTGGGGACATTAACACTGTAGGATGTGGGGAAGAAAGGGTTAATATAACAAGATGAGGACATCGAATAACCGTGGGGACATTGTCCCTCTGTCCCCACGCACTGGACGTCTGTCCTGTACAATAAATATGTACAGTGCCATTAAAACTGGATTGATTTATTCAAGGTATTTAGTCATATTTAAATGAATAAATAATCTTAATTAAGTAGATTTAAGGGTCAAGAAAAAGTAAAGTAATTTAATTTTGCATATATATGCAAATATTTCGCAATTATGTAAATTTGCAACATTTCATGAGAGACGAGATGAGACTGGAAGAAGAAGATGCGGGATGTCGAGTTGCACGTGCAGCAGCAAAGTGTGTAGAAGAATAACAGGTTAAATTTAGTGAAAAACTAAAGATAATTAATTAAATTAAATTAGTGTCCTTATCGCCATGTCGTCCACCAAGTATACTCGTCTCATCGTCAAGAACCTTCCCGAGGGGGCGACGGAACCCAAACTTCGTGACCTTTTCGCCTCCAAAGGGACCGTGACGGATGTTCAACTGAAGCGTTTCAATGACGGGAAATCTCGTCATTTTGCCTTCGTCGGTTATCGAACGGAGGAGGAGGCAAGTGCGGCAAGAGACTATTTCGATAAGTCGTTCTTCGGTGGGGGCAAGATGCAGGTGGAGCCCTGTTACCCGTTAAGTGAGTGCCTTAATTTTGTGAAATTATCACATTTTTAATAATTATTTATCGTTTCTGGGAACTTATTTAAAAATTCTGGACGACAAATTTGTAGAGCAGGGAGTTGTCCACTTTTTTGAAAAATATACACTCCAGATTTTGACACCTTTTGAAGGAGGAAATCTCAAGGTTAAGAAACCTTTAGAAAAATTGGAATGGCGTAAAAAAACCTTATCGCCATTCAATTAATCAACTCACTAAGGACAAATTTGTCGTTCAGAATTTTAAAATAAATTCCCAGAGGGGAGAAATTAATTTAAAATGTGTTGCTTTTAGTGATAAGTCATCAAGTCCTAAATTAATTTGATTATTATTATTATTTTGTCTACAGATGATCCCAATAAACCAAAGGCTTGGAGTAAACACAGCAAAAAAGCGGAAGAACCTCAGCCCACCAAGAAGAAGAAGAAGAAAGAAAAAGATGAAAGTGACGACGACGACGCCAACGCCAACGCCACCGCCGCCAACGCCACCGCCGCCGCCGCCGACGACGACGATGAAACTGCCCCCAAAAAGATTAAACGGAGGGAGGAAGAACTTTACGAAAAGGCGCAGGCTGACCCCGATTTTCTCGAGTTTTTACAAGTCCACAACTCCAAGAGTCAAGCAAAATGGGGGAACGACACGGTGCTCGACACCCTGGAAAAAATGGTGTTGACCTCGGGCAAGAAGAAAGATAAGGAGGAGATTGTCGATAAGAAGAAGAGTGAAGGTAAGCCAAAGACGAAGAAGGAAGAAGTCAAGAAGGCGAAAGGTGTCATACCGGAAGACACTTTTTTCACCGTGAAGCTTCGAAATTTACCGAAAAAGGCGAAAAAGAAGGATTTGAAAGCGTTCTTTGCTCCCTTGGTGCCAAAGTCGATAAGGTGAGTGGTCAGTTTAGATAAGCAGTGGCTGTGGGGACATCGGGGGACATTAACATTGTAGGAGAGGGGGAGGGACGGGTTTATATAAGATGGGAAGATGATGCGGACATCGAATAACCGTGGGGACATTGTCCCTCTGTTTGTCCTCACGCTTTCACGCCCATCGTTGATAAGGTCTTATCTGACGTCTAATATTTTTCAGGACTCCTCCCGGTCTTCGTGGGTTTGCCTATGTCGGATTCCTCACGGAGAATGAGCGGCGGAAAGCTCTAGCCAAGAATCGCAGTATCCTCCTCGGTCAACAGATCACTGTTCGGACCTACGTCTCCCGAGCGGGGGTCGTGGGGGCAGAAATGGGTGAGCGGAAAGGGCGCTGGGCAGGACAAGCGGCCGAGTTGGAGCGCTCTGCTGAAGGGGTGGAAGAATCTGGGCGAATCTTCGTCCGTAATTTGGCCTACACGGTGAATGAGGCTGATTTAAAGATGGAATTTGAAAAGGTGAGTTAATTATTGGTAACGATGTTTAAAAATATTTAAATTTATTACAGGTAATAAATTTAGAATGGAAGTCGACCAGCGTATGCGATCAGGTTTTGAGCAAACTATTGTCAATTAATCGCAGATTTGATTGGTATGAAATTTGCGAAAGACACGATCTCCCAATGGGCACGTTTGGCCGAGATATTTGCATCCCAAGAGGAGATAACGCTCAGTAAATTTGGAAAGTGTAATATTTGTCGACTTTATTGCTCGTTTTCTCCTCTTCGGATGCAAATATCTCGGCCAAACGTGCCCATTGGGAGATCGTGTCTTTCGCAAATTTCATACAAATTAAATCTGCGATTAATTGACAATAGTTTGCTCAAAATCTGTGAGCATACATTGGAAGATTTTCATTGTAATTTTAAGTAGTCAACAATTAAGACGATTAAGTTAGCTAAAATACGTTTCAATGATTAATTAGTTCGGCCCTGTGACGGAAGTTCACCTTCCCGTGGATCGGCTCACCCGACAAAGCAAAGGATTCGCCTTTGTATCCTTCCTCCTTCCGGAACAAGCCGCAAAGGCGTTTGAGGCTTTGGATGGGACGACGTTTCAAGGACGGATGCTTCATCTGCTCCCCTCCAAGAGCAAGGACGACGACGAGGCTGGCGGTGGCGGTGTGGGTGGCTCCTCTTACAAAAGGGAGAAGGAGGCTAGTCGCAAAAAGACGGCAGGTGGGCAGAAGGTTCCTCGTGTAGTGTGCTTATCGAGCAAACAATGAAGCAATTCACGCAGGCCTTCGTAACATTGTAAAGTCCATAAATTCTATACACATGGTACAACCTTTTACTCATATTTCGAAGGAAAATTAACTCCCAAATTTATGTAACCTTGTTCAGATCGAGGGGGGCGTCTCTTCATTTTGTAAAATTATGGCACGGATTTTACAAAGTTACAAAGTACTGCGTGAATCTTGCTAAATAAAGACATGTCCATACCTTAGCTGGAAAAATTTATTAACAAAAATCACACACAATTTTGTGCCAAAGTTTTCTGAAATCTTAAGTAAGGGGAATGGTTAACTTATAACTTAATACTACTCCCGGCCATGATAAATGTTTTTTACAGAAATACTTGTTTTACTCATAATAAAGTATTTCGTTGTTTGTAAGTACTTGAATCTGCCAGAAGTGATAATACAAGTTGTTAAGATCACTTTAAAATTTAAATTTTTAAAAAACTTTCCAAAATTGTATCGATTTTTACCCAACCATCTTTACCGGCTTTTATTGGTCAAGCAAGCTTGCGTTTCTCTCAAGACTTGATTTTAGTTAACTTGGATTTCATTATGGCGAGAGGAAATATTAGCTTAAAAGAGTATTAATTATGATCAGTTAAATATGACCCAATAATTAATCCTTAATCCTGATGTCGTTAATCCGCTTATCAATTGATAAAACTCGTGACTAATGAATTGTATTTTAACAATCCACTCCAGGTTCTTCGCACAACTGGAATTCTCTCTTCCTCGGAATGAACGCCGTGTCGGCCGTAGTTTCTGAAAAGTATGGCGTTTCCCGAGAACAGCTCCTGCTCGACAATTCCGACGCGAAGGACGAGCACTCCTCCAGTGTCGCCGTTCGGATGGCATTGGCCGAAACGGAAATCGTGTCCGCGACCCAGAAGTTTCTCGAAGCGAACGGCGTCTGTCTGGATGCGTTCGATGCGTCCCTCGGACTCAAGTTGGAACGCAGCACGACAACGTTTTTGGTCAAAAATTTGGTCGCAAACACGACCGAGGACGAGTTGCGGTTGTTGTTCGAGAAAAGCGGCGTTCTCGGGAGGGTTGTCCTTCCGCCCAGCGGAGTTACCGGTGAGTGGACAGAAGAAATTGGGGGATAAGTTTATATTTTCTGCGTTATGTATATGTTCGTTTTTAATTTTAACGTATGACTTATCACCAAAATCGTGGAAATCAGCCCATTTTTAATCATTCCTTCGCTCTGGGAATTTATTTTAAAATTCTGAAGGACAAATTTGCAGACCAGGTGGTTGCCAATTAAAAAAAAATACATAATCCAGATTTTGACATTTTTTGAAGGAGATTTCAAGGTTAAGAAGCCTTCAGAAAAATTGGAACTTATCGAAACTGGCTGAAAAAACTAGCTTATCGCCATTCCATTAAGCAACTCATTGAGTACAAATTTGTCGTCCAGAATTTTAAAATAAGTTCCCAGAGGGGAAGAAATGAGTAGAAATGTGCTGATTTTGACGAGAGTCATCAAGTCGTATGTTAATTACGTGTTCTTTTTTCATGTGCAGCGATTGTGGAATTCATGGTGCCGTCCGAGGCGAGGGGGGCGTTCAAGAAATTGGCGTACTCGAGATTCAAGGGGATGCCGCTCTACTTGGAATGGGCTCCCGTCAACGTCTTCCGCGTGGCGTCGGACGGGTCCAAAATCTCCGTCAGGAGAGAAGAAGTAGTCGAAGAGAAGACACAGCCAACTGCGGACAAGAAGACGACGAAACTGGCAGAAAGGGAGTTGCCCAATTATGACGACGATGACGAACCATTCGACGAGAACATGGTGCCTGAACCGGAAACGACCGTTTTCGTTAAAAATCTGAACTTTTCTACGGGAGAAACGGAACTGAAAAAGGTGGGCGATTGTTACGCCATCGTAATTTATGTCCTAACTATGGCGCAAGTTATCGATGTATAATTATGCAAATTGTTGTAATTCTCTGGTACAGCACTTTGCCTCCGTGGGACGAATCTTTGCCGTGACGGTGGCACGGAGGAAGGATCCCAAGAGTCCCGACCAGCTTTTGTCGCAAGGCTTCGGCTTTGTCCAGTTCTATCGGGCGAAGGATGCCGCCAAGGCTTTAACCACTCTCAACCAAAGCATGCTACAAAATCATTCCTTAGAAATCAAAATGTCGAGCAGGACTTTGCAGTGAGTACTTCAGTTCAATTCACTCTCACAAGAGAGGTCTTTCAATAGAATCAGATTTTGAACAAACTAGTGTCAATCGATCGCAAATTTAGTTAGTATGACGTTTGTGAAGGGCACGATCTCCCAATGGGCATGCTTGCCATAGATATTTGCATCCGAAGAGGAGAAAAAGGGTCTTAAAGTCAACAAAATTTACACTTTCCAAATTTACTGCGCGTGTTCTCCTCTTCGGATGCAAATATCTCGGCCAAATGTGCCCATTGGGAGATCGTGTCCCTTGCAAATTTTATACCAATTAAATTTGTCATCGATTGACACTAATTTGGCCAAAAATTTGAGACCATGCGTTGCGAGATCTCCATTGTCAGACTTCTGTAATTCTGGATAGGCTTGTAAAAATTTGTAATCATTTATTTCCATGTAGATCTGAAAATGCTGCTGCAAATGCGAAAACGACGGACAGAAAGTGCTCCAAAATCCTCGTGCGAAACGTCCCATTCCAAGCGAACGAGGCAGAAATCACGGATCTATTCAAGTGAGAAGTGTTCCACAGATATGAAAATGATTTCATTTCATGGCCAAAATCGTAACCTTTGCGTATTATTTTTTTTCCAGGGTGTTCGGAAAATTGAAGGCGGTTCGAATGCCACGAAAAGCCACAGGGGAAAGCCAACATCGCGGATTTGCCTTTATCGACTTCTTCGTCGAGGCGAACGCCAAGGTGGGAATAAAACAGACTGCTTAATTTTGATTAATTGGATTATTTACATGGAAATTTTAGCAGAAAACTAGCATAAATTTTACTTTATTTCTCAATATTTTGAATTCCGTCTGCCATCGATTATCAACACATGCATAGATAATGACGAAACTTTTTTGGAAAAAATTAATAGTTAGTTTTTTGAAATTCGGAAAAATTGTCAAGTTTTATGTGATAAAAATGTAGAAATTTAATTTAAAACGTTGCCAAAAAAACAAGATTTCAATTTTGATTATGTGACTCAAGGTGTAATTTGACTTTGTAGACTGCATTCGACACGTTGAGCAAGTCGACGCACGTGTACGGCCGTCGCCTGGTGTTGGAGTGGGCGGAAGGGGACGCGTCGCTGGAGGAGCTGCGGAACAAGGTGGCCCGACAGCAGGCCACGTCCTCCTCCTCCTCGCACCACAAGGACAACTCCACCAAGAAGCAGCTCCGGAGGTACTTCGAGAAGGAGGAGGGCACCAAAAGTGGTCGGGGGGATGAAGAAAAAGGGGACGACGACTAGTTTAATCAACGGTTTAATCACTAATTGCAAGGATAAGGTTCAATCTCAATTAGTAAAATAGTTTGTAAAATGACCTCGCGATAAGTGAGTTATTGGCCAATTTGATAATTAAGTAGACGAAATTATGTATCTATTCGGTGCAATTAGTAAATCTTTTAACTTATCTGATACATGTAAAAGTAACTGTTGAATTAAGGATTAAATTAGCTGGACTTGATAAGATGAAAGTTTGTAAGATAATCGATATTTTTAAAACTTATGAGTAATTAAGTCGAGTTGTGTAATATAAAATATTTAAATGACGATAGATTCGAATAAACTTGCAAATGTTACGGATAAGGGTTGAATAAAGGTTCGACTTGATAAGTGTAAGTAAGATTATCGATATTTGCTAAAAGTTGTTATATGTATTTTGAGAAGTAATTATTTCTAGTTGTGTAATACGTATTACCACCACGGTAAAAAATCGAATAAACTTGGATAACACGAATTTGTAAAGGTTTCAATTCGTCTTTTGTACCAATTCATTCCTTCTCAATTAATCCTGCATTTATGAAAATTGGTGACACGAATTAACTCAAAGATTTTCATTCATCATTCATTTTAGTTCAGTTCTAAATTCAGACGTGATTCATACACTATAAAAAATCCGGTGGAGTCACATATGTACTCCGTACTGGTATTTATTTGGTCCCGGGTCTGATTGAACTGTGATAACCCCATTTTGATTGAATGTCCTGAAAATTCGATAATTTCGAAAAAGTTGTGATTTCTGCGGAATATGATCACAGAAGTGTAAAAACTGTCAAGATCCGAGCAAAATTGAATTTTCACATGAAAACATCCCTTTTTCATGTTTTCCATCCCTTCGAGTGGGTGTGACGGGGGGCAAATAAATATGCAAAGTGCCTCAAGATCTGAGAGGAAGGCCATGGAAAGGGTCTTTTCCTTGCAGGTATTTCATCTTGCCCCAGAATCTCAAACGTCCCACGACCCCAATCCTTCACGGAGGTCACGTGGTCCATTTGGCCCCTTCTCATTTGCATGTTCACCAATTGGAATATGCCAACGAGGCGAGCAGCGTGCTTTTTCGTCTGCCGGCCTCTACGGTTTTGCTCTCAGATCCCTCTCACTCGTCTTCCTGCCTCCTGCCTCGTGCTCCACTTTGATTAATTTTTTATCCTTGGTTCCTACTTTTAGGGCCAAAGTTTAGTAATTAAAGCAGTTTCGAACGTTTTTTCAATTCCAAAGTAATGAAAATGTGAAACAAAGAATTCTTCCTCTCTCGTTACAAGTAACTTTTTCATGCGGCCGGAGGTGTAGAAACCTTTCGTCACGGGATTCGTTCATGAGGCGTATGGAACTATTTTCTGTTTGAAACACTGTTTGCTAAGATGTGCCCCCTGCTGGGCAGTGTCAAAGTTTACTAATTAGTTAATTATGAGCTTAATTATTTTTCATAATACTTACACATAAAGTTACTCATTGAAACTAAAATTGTGCACATTTTAAACAACGCTTAATTAATTGGGATAAGAGGATCATTAATTAGCATATTATCTCGGGTCTGATTGAACTGTGATAATCCCATTTTGATTGAATCTCCTGAACATACATTTCGATAATACAAGTTGAGATTTCTGCTGAATTTGACAGTTTTCATGTTGAGATCACAGAAATGTGAAAACTGTCAAAATCAGAGCAAAATAGGATTTTTGAAAACATGCCTTTTTTCACGTTTTTCATCCCCTCGAGTGGGTGTGGCGTGGGGGCAAATGCTAGAGACGCAATCAGGCCCTCAAGATCTGAAAATGAGTAGAAGAAGGACCCTGGAATTTCATGGAAAGCGTCTTTTCCATGCAGGTATTTCATCTTGCCCCAGAATCTCAAACGTCCCACGACCCCAATCTTTCACGGAGGTCACGTGGTACGTTTGGCCCCTCCTCATTTGCATGATCACCAATCGGAATATGCCAACGAGGCGAGCTGCGTGCTTTCTCATCTGCCGGCCTCTACTACTCCGGTTTTGCTCTCAGATCCCTCTCACTCGTCTTCCTGCTGCTGTTGCCTCGTGCCCACTTTGATTAACTTTTTATCCTTGGTTCCTACTTTTTGGGCCAAAGTTTAGAATAAAGCAGTTTCGAACGTTTTTTCAATTCCAAAGTCTCGATTTCTACGTCAAATTTACCAAGTTAACGAAAGGTAGAAGAGTCAGAAATAAGAAAAGTTTTGCCTTCTAAAAATTGAGTTAGATCGAAGTAAAAAAAGGGTAAATGATGGTTTAGTGGTTCCTTTTTAAAATCATTTATCATTTCAGGACAACTAGTTTTACCTATTATTCAGTAATTGATTGATTGTAATTTATGCTAATTCTTTGTACGTACAGAACGATGGATTCGAATACTACTGAAAAACTTGAGTTGGCGGTCGACGACAAGGACGTCCCTTCAGGAATCGTCATGGTCGATGTGATGGCGACGGGGAGAGACCGGAAGAAGGTCCCAGCACCGCCGGTATCGTCCTCCAGCAGCAACGATGACGACGGCAAGGAAGAAGAAGAAGAGCCCGCTGACCCAAATATTTATATGGTGGAGGCGATACAGGGTCAGAGGATGGTCCGTGGCAAATTGGAATACTTAGTAAAATGGGAGAATTACCCAAAGTGAGTCAAATAATGATATAATCATTCATTTTGAACTAGGTTTATCATAATGAATTGGTTGATATCGTTTTGGTTTATCTTTATAGGGAGGACAACACTTGGGAGCCGGCTACCGGTCTGTTTTGCTACGATCTTATAGAAGAGTTCCAGAAAACACGTAAACAAAGAAGGGTCAAGCCTGAAGGGAAACGTCGGAAATCCGAAAAGGTGCAGGTATCCGGCAAGACTGGAAGAGAGCATGACTGGAGCCGATTCGAAGAAAGATCGGAAAGAAGGAGGAACTCAGAAAGAAGAAGATAAGCGCGCTGACGAACCAGCCAAGGCGAGTGACAAGAAACCTACCGGATCAACTGAGAAGACGGAGAAGAAAGCGTCCCAAGTTATCGAGAAGAATGACAAGAAAGTTTCCGAACCAGTCGGGAAGACAGAAAAGAAGGGTTCTGAACTTTCTCAAAAGAAAGAGGAAGCCCGTCCCGCTAGGCAAGATGAGCCTCTTCCTGGTCCCTCCCATCGTCTCGACCGAGACCCCCGCCGAGGTTCCTCCTCTCCCAAGAAGAAGGTGGTTACACAAAAATTCCTTACTCATTCTCCATCAACGTCAACATTATTAATTGATTCATTTTTTTACCTTATCGACAGAAGGTAATCAAGATAACGAAGCCGGGTCGGAGCGGGCTGGTAAAAGGTTGGAGGGTGCAGGATATCGTCGCAGTTTGCAAGGAGGAGGGTGCGGATGACGATGCTGATTTCCGCTTCGTCGTGAAATACAAAGAACGCGACGATATGGAGGCGATTCCTCGTCAGGAATGCAACGAAAGGATACCGCACAAGGTCATAAAATTTTACGAGATGAATGTGATATGGGCTCAGATCTTGGAGGACTTATAAACATTAAAACTACCATTGTTAATGATATTATTGTTTTTTATACTTAAAAGTATTATGATTGCGACGCCAATTAGGCAATTTGACTTTGTTAGCGTAGTAAGAGTAGAACTTTGTAGTTGTATCTAGTTAGTGAAACAAATATAGTTTTAAGGAGAAAGCTTCCGGTCTCTGTTTAATGGGGAAGTCATTTTTAAAAATAGTTAATAATTCATATTTTGTTATTGGAACGGTTTTAAACCACTTGTTACTAACAAGTTGTTAGTTAGTTTGGATTGAATTGTTTATTTGAATAAATGAATGCGAGATTGTTTGTTACAATGAAAATATGCTTGTTTGTTTTATAGAGTTTTTCTAGTCAGGCTAAGTCCCCATTTAAGGACCCATAATTGATTGGGTGGCATGATAAGCATACCGGATAGTGGATAAGGTGGCATAAGATAAATATCCATAGTTGGTAGGAGGGTAGAATGATAAGTATACTGATGATTGATGAGGTGGCACAAATACGATTATAGATAAGGTAGTATAAATATAATTGATTAGATAGGCATGAGAAGTATACCGATAATTGATACGATGTTATGCGGCATGATAAGCATCCATAATTGATGCGTCATTCTCACGTTGAGTGACCCATTTTTAGCCCGAGTCAGGGCTTATGTACCCGTCATGTCCGTCTGTCTGTCTGTCTGTCCGTCTGTCTGGTTTGCGATAACTGCCGTTAACCTAATCCGATCGACTTGAGATTTTGCACAAATGTAGTATGGGTCAAATGAGGAGTTAAGTTCGAAGATGGGCGAAATCGGTCAGGTGGTTGACCGGTGGGGGTCATATAGGTGGGTGGGGTATTATGCATCAAAATTTCAAAATTGACGTAGAAAGCTGAAATTAGGTGCAGAGGTTGATAATGATTTCTAATGAAGGAATACAAAGTAAAATTGCAAAAATTTTCATCTGGATGGACCCTAGTGACCCATACCGATTTTTAAAACTTATCCAATCGAACTGAAATTTGATACATAGGTTGTTAATGGCTACTAATGGAAGAATAAGAATTGAAATTGGACACATATTCACCTGGACAGACCCTATGGGGTGACCCATACCAATTTTTCAAATTCGTCAAATCGAGCTGAAATTTGGTAGGCAAGTTGGTAATAGCTCCTAATGAAGTAAAATAAGAAAAATTTTCACCTGGAGGACCTTATTGGGCGACCCAATCAGGTGACCAGGGAAAAAAAATATGTGTGCACCAACAAATGTATACGAACCTAGTCACCCGCGTGGCTGGAATTTGCATATGTTGCGTCTAATATTACTAGGATAATATCCTGAGAGTTTTAGGAAAAACAATACACTCGTTTCATAGTTATGGTCATGGTCAATACTGGTGACCAGCGAGAAAAATATGTGTTGTGCACGAACAAAAGCATATGATCCTAGTCACCCGCATACCTGGAATTTATATATGTTACATTGAATGTTGGTAACATAATATCCTGAAAGTTTTCAGAAAAAATATACACTCGTTTCAAAGTTATGGCCACAGTCGATACTGGTGACCAAGGGAAAAAAATGTGTGCACTAACAAAAATTTAGTGATAGTGGATAAATTTTAGTATATGGGTTACTAAAGGCTCTTAATTGAACAATTCGAAGTTTAAAAAATTTTAATTTGAAAACAGATTTACGCCTGACTCGGGCTATATCAAGTCTGCACTGTAGGTTTTGATCTTGAAGTCAAAAAGTGATTTCGTAATTTCGCTTTCACTGAGAATTTTACGCCGACATGAAAAAGACGACGATGAATATGTAAATGAGGATATGTTAATTACGTATGTACATACACAGTTAATCACTTAGTTATTTAGTTAAATAAGCTTGAATTTTAATCTCTATATTTCCACAGGCTCAAAATACCTTAACCCAACACACAAATAGCTTTCACTTGAAATAATAATAATCAATTAAAAGCATAATTTAATTAATGTATGTTCAACATGATTGAATTTTATCATGATAATTTTAACTTATAATGTCACACGTGGGTTGACCACGTGGATCTAAAACAATGTCGTATTTCCCTTTGCATTGTGGAAATTTGCATGAAAAACTATCTTGAAAACGTGACTCTCCTCCCTGATGATCACCAGTTGGAGCAGAATTGGCCTTGATTGGGGGCCCCCGTGGTCAGCTGCGGGGGGTTGTCCTTCATGAACCGCGTCCAGTCCCACTCGGCGTCCTCCCCGTTGTTGAACAGCTTCCGGTAGAGGCGGCGGAAGAGCGAGCGCAAGTATTTGTAGTCCGGCCCCTCCTCAAAAGCCAGGCCGCGACAGTAGTTCAGATACGTCGCGAACTCCGGGGGGCAGCCCTGCGCCAAAATAAAGGTCACAAAATTGTCATGACATGGAGAAGAAATGTGCTTAAATAATGCATAGTTGTTCTTTATGTAATGACAATTTCAGCAATTCAGTCCACTTTACGGATGTACGTAGGACTCGATGATTCATCGCCAAAGTCGTAAAAATCAGCACAAATTTGTAGAGCAGGTCATTTCCAAGTTTTTAAAAACCAAGAAATGATTAAAAATGTGCTGATTTCGGCCACTTTAGAGCCATCGAGTCCTAAGTTAATCCAAAACAAATGTTTCATTTCGTACGGATTTGCTCCATTTCTTGCACTGTAAAGCAAGAAACGCAAGAAATGTGAGGTGCAAGAAACTGCAAGAAAGTGGGAGAAATACAGCGACGCCATGTATGAAGGAATGCACGTAGTTTCTTGCACCTTGCATTTCTTGCAGGCCAAAATAGACCCCATTCTTGCAACTGGTTACATGCACCGCTGATGAACATTGGCGTGTAACCCGTTGGGAAATCTGGGGACATTAAAAATGTCGGATAGGGATGGGTTTGTATAAGATGCGGACATCCAAAAACCAAGGGGACATTGTCCCTCACGCTTCCCCCGCGGCCACTGCCGCTGAATACCTGGCACAACGTTTCAATCGTGGTGGTGGACTTGACCTCGAAAATCCGTGCGCAGAGGGCCTCCTTGTTCGAGGCGTCGAGGCCAATCCAGGGCAGACCGCGGCGGAGGAAGTAGACCAAAATGTAGCCAATCGACTCCATGTCGTCCCGTCGACTGCGGACAAACACACACGCCACATAATTACTGCGAGGATAAGCAATCAAAGAAAATGGGTGTCAGTTCATAGCATCGCAACCTTCGTCGGATCCCGAGGTGGGCGTTGAGCGAGGTGTACCCCGCCGTCCCGGCGACACCCTGCGTCTTGTTTTGGTTATAGGACAGGTGAAAATATGACGTCCGGTAGACCTCGGCCAGGCCAAAGTCGATCAGAAAGAGCTGCGTGCGTGCATGAAAAAATTGCATGAAAAAGATGCACAATGGAGGTCTCCAAGTGTATGCGATCCGATTTTGGCGAAATTAGTGTGAATCGATGGGAAATTTGGTTAGTATCAAATTTTCGAAAGACACGATCTCCCAATGGGCACGTTTGGCCGAGATATTTGAATCCGAAGAGGAGAAAACGTGCAGTAAAGTCGCCAAAAATTTTACACATCCCCCATTTACTGCGCATTGTCTCCTCTTCGGATGCAAATATAGATATATATTGGCGAAACGGCGAAACGTGCCCATTTGGAGATCGTGTCTTTCGCAAATTTTATACTTATCAAGTTTGTCATTGATTGAGACTAGTTTGCAGGGGTGGGCAAGATACTTTGGTCGTAAGATACGGATGAAGATACTTTCTAAGACGAGATGTAACATACATCTTGTTTAAGTACGTAAGATACAAGATACTTTTTTAAAAATTAAGTAGGCACGATACAAGACATGTATCTTAAGATGAGTACTTTTACATTAGATAAACCAATAATATCCGTACATTAATTAAGCATAATACACACTTAATTAATGTGCCTATAAATATGTAAATACATGACTGTCATGTAATACGCAACGTATGTACATACGAGTACGTACCGTACCCATGAAAATACACTATAAAGTCACATATTTACTCCGTACTGGTATTGATTTGGTAATAATTCCCTATCGGATTGGTTATAGTTTGATTCTGAGTGGTGGTAACGATTTCATTACCACCACATTATAACGATCGATATTACCGATGCTGGTAGAGTCATATACATATGTACTCCGTTTGGTAATGATTCAATACCAGTTGCCTAAGAGTGTACAATATGTATGTAAGTCTAATTGGCATAACATAAAGTAAAAGTTCATCAAACTCTGGTTACAAGTTGATGATCAGATAGTAAGAAATTGACTTAGTTTTTAAAAAGCATCTTTATCTGGTGAACTATCTTAACATACTTTTCTCCCAGGCATGCATATCTAGATAAGGTACTTATCTAGGATCGATACTATAAAAAATACAGGATACTTGTCTGATCAGGAGACGAAGATACAAGATAAAGATACTATCTTGTAGCTTGACCAAGTATCTTGTCCACGTCCAGTCCACCGTTATGCTAATTTGCTCAAAATCGGAGTGCATACTTGCATTATGCAAAAAATTGTGGCCAAATTGTGGCCAAATTGTGGCCAAAAAATTGTTGCAAAAAACTGTGGCGTCACCTTGTTCGCCTTGTCGCCGAGGCCCATGACCATATTGTTGGGTTTGAGGTCGCGATGGATGATGCTGTTGTCGTGGATGAATTGGAGGCGTTCCAACATCTGGTCGGCGAGCAGGAGGATGGTTTGGAGGCTGAACTGACGCCCGCAGATGTTGAAGAGGTCCTCCAACGAGGGGCCGAGCAGGTCCATCACGAGCACGTTGTACTCCCGAGCACGACCAAACCACCTGAAGGGGAATGATTAATTCAATTGACTGATTATGAATGAATGAAAATGAAATTCCTATGAAAATGACTGAAGGATTCTGTCATTTCAGATGAATGACTGTGAATGAATGAATGAAGAGACTTCTCACTTATTTCATTTTAATTCAATTGACTGATTATATGATGAATGATGAATGAATGAAAATGAAATTCCTGTCGCTTGAATGAAAATGAATGTAGGATTTCAGATGAATGACTGTGAATGAATGAAAGGACTTCTCACTCACTTATTTCATTTTTCACTCTATTTATGCCTAAATTAAGCATGTTAAGCGGCTTAATGTGTACATTGCATGAAGTAAGAATGAAGTGAAATGAAATGAATTTGAACGATAATGACTGAACATGAGTGAAAATCTTCCGTGAGAAATCGGGATGACCTACTTTTGAATGAAAACTAACTTTTTGAACGGGTATGGCAATAACTATTAGTCATTTGTAGCCATGAATTTGCACCGGAAACGCTCTTCTTACCGGATTCGTGGAAGCCCATCCGCTCCTTCTAACGCCTCGTACAATTGGTGTTCCCGTAAGAGTTGCGGGTATCGAGACGAGCGTCGCTCCAGCTTGACGGCAACGTTCTGTCGAAATTTCAGAAATGGTCAAATTATTCCATAGTCAACATGCAAATGCATGTTGACCTCTGACCTCTCTGGTGCCCATGTCCATGCCGAGGACGACCTCGCTAAACCCTCCAGACCCGATTCTCGTCGGGGAGACGCGGTACGTCCCACCCACCAAGAAGTGCGAAGAAGCAGGAATACAAGAAATCATGATGCTATTAAAAATCAAATGTGGTACATAAGAGATTTTCATAAATAAAACAGTCCCATTTTGAAATTCACAACTTTGAAATTCAGAGTATGCAAAATGTGGTGGTGAAAACTAGATATGAAAATCGACCCATTTTTCAGGGGTACACAAACAATTCTGCATAAAGTTTTAAAATAATGAAGGGAAATTTTGCCTGTACAAAATTTTCCACCGGAAACATTTAATGCAGATTTTTATAGAAATCTGTACAAAATTTCTGCAGGAAACATAGATAATGCAGATTTTGCAAAAATTTGTAAGGTCGATTTTCATATATACATAGCTTGTATTTATCTATGTAAATATTCCTCCGCCTCAAATTCTTACAAATATTGACGTTATTAACTCAGAAATGTCATGCACTTTTTTTCATACTAATTGTTATATACGACTTTTAAGTTAAGTTTTTTAATGTTGCAAATTTCCGTTTAAAAAATTTGCAAATTACAATTCCACACGATGCAAAATTCTTGCCCTATTATTAAAATGGTATTGATTGATAAAACCACTTTCACACATCATAAAAGAATTGTTGTTCTCCTCAATTCACAATAAAGAACAATCAAAAAATCAAAATATGCTGAATTGTCAACTCAACAATGAATGGATAAAATATTTGAAATTTTTACTTTATAAATACGTAATTGTGTCAAATTAAGGGTTGAAAAAGCATGCAAATGTATAACGTAACTGGTACATAGATAGGTGGACTGGACTGGATTGGACTTTAGCCTGAAAAATTTGGACGCCACGCACCGAGTTCCCGTGAAATGTTGGTGTTAATAATCGGATTCATTATTATTATTGTTATGATTAATGTTATTATTCTGGGAGCCGAGGAGGTTTGTTAAATAACATAACAGTTTCGTTGATTGGCAAGTGATTGCATATGCAAATCTTAAATATGTCCATATGTAAATAAATACATGTCTTAGAAAGATATGCATTTACACTCTTAGGCAACTGGTATTGAAATCTTTAAATTACTACTCATTTAGTTTATAGCTTATTAAAATACTGAAATAAGTAGGTTTGCAAACAAATATGCAGTTTATAATTTCGTATTTTGCAGTTATTTGCAACGTTTCATAATGAGATGAGATATGACATGTGTATCCCATTACATCAAGCTTTTGTTATTACGTCCAATTTAGTACTAATTACAATCATGTATTTAGTTATCACATCCATATTATTTTTGTTAAACACACTGTTAACAATCTGATAGAGTCACAGATATATTCCGCTAAGGTATAGATTAGGTAATAACCTCTTACCGGATTGGTATAGCGATTCGTTTCTGAGTGGTTAATTTTTCATTAACGCAACATTACCAAACGGTAACGATCGTTAATACATATTTGTACTCCGGTCAGTAATAGTTTACTTCCAATTGTGTGTGATCTGAATCGAGGTCAGCATTATTCCCATGGACGTAGTCATCATCCTACGATCGTTTCAATACCGATTTACTGGACATCTCTCCAATTCCATGCGTTATAACATGTAAAGCAAGGAAGCAATGTAATGTTCGTTTAATTTCGCCGTAGTTCACAATACGATACAATGCCAAACATCAATGTGTACACTTTTAAGCAACTGGTATTGAATCATTACCGAACGGAGTACATATATGACTCTACCGGCATCGGTAATATCGATCGTTATAATGTGGTGGTAATGAAATCGGTACCACTCAGAATCAAACTATAACCAATCGGGTAGGTTATTATTACCAAATCAATACCAGTAAGGAGTACATATGTGACTCTACCGGATGCTTCATAGTGTATGAATCACGTCTGAATTAATCGTCACGAACTGAACTAAAATGAATGAAAGTGAATTCGAATGAAAATCTTTGAATTAATTCTTGTCACCCATTTTCATAAGTGCAGGATTAATGAATTGGTACTAAAGACAAATTGAAACCTTTACAAATTCGTGTTATCCATGTTTATTCGACTTTTTACCGTGGTGGTAATACGTATTACACAACTAAATATAATTACTTATTAAAATACATATAATTAACTTTAACAAATATCGATTATCTTAATTACACTTATCAAGTACCGAGAGGAAGAATTCTTTGTTCCCATTTTCATTATAAAAATGATAAGTTTTCATGCTTATGTATAACCTGGAAAATTGGAAGTTCATACATATGAGGTTTTTCATATAAAAAAATAAACCGATTTGTTACCAAATGACCGAATTTACATGAAAACTTTAACATGACGAGTTTCAGTGGATCACTATATTTCCACGAAATTTACAAAATTCCCAAGGTTCAAAACTTTACAGAAATACAGTAAAAGCTGAAAGTTAGCCTTTTTATTTTTCAGCTTATCCAATTTGCTATTGTTCTAGGAATTTATGATATAAACAAAAATTCCATGCAAAAAATCCAAGAATCCATACAAAATTTCCTCTCTACATTGAAACTTAATTGCTTAATTATTACTCATTTAGTTTATAGCTTTTTAACACTTACATAGCTTTGCAAACTAGTATGCAATTTATAATTTTGCATTTTGCAATTAATTTGCAACGTGTCACGATGAGATTTGACATGTGCGTCCCATTTCACTACATTTGTTATTACGAAAAATTTAGAACCATATTTAATTATCACTTATCACATCCATATATTATTTTTGTTAGACACACTGTTAAAAATCTGGTAGAGTCACAAATGTACTCCGATAAGGTATAGATTTGGTAATAACTTTTTACCGGATTGGTAGTGATTCGTTTCTGAGTGGTTAATTTTTCATTACCGCAACATTACCAAGCGATAATGAACGTTAATCCATATCACTGTAAAGCATCCGGTAGAGTCACATATGTACTCCGTACTGGTATTGATTTGGTAATAATTCCCTCCCGATTGGTTTTAGTTTAATTCTGATTGTGAGTGGTAACGATTTTCATTACCATCACATTACTACTACGCCGTAACGATCCATTCGATATTACCGATGCTTGTAGAGTCATATATGTACTCCGTTCGGTAATGATTCAATACCAGTTGCTTAAGATTGTACACATTTAAGTTTAGCATTGTATCGTATTGTGAACTACGGCGAAATTTAACGAACATTACATTGCTTTCATGCTTTTCTTGTTATAATGAATTGGAGAAATGTCCAGTAAATCGGTAATGAAACGATCGTAGGATGATGACCACGTGCATGGGAATAATGCTGACCCCGACTCAGATCAAGCACAATTGGTATTAAATCGTGTACAAAGTCATATATCTATAGGTACTTCGGTCAGTAATAGTTTAACACCAGTTTTCTAAAAGTGTCGATAAGCAACGTAGATTAGCAAGCCTTGGTCGGGTATTGAAAATTATGCAACGAGATGTGCAGACAGAGCCGGATTCTGATCCTGCATTTGCTTTCTGATCGTTAAATTTCGCCATAATTCACCGCATACGATACAATGCTAAACATAAATGGTATGAATACAGTGGGGACATTAACACTGTAGGATGGACGGGTTTGTATAAGATGGAGAGATGATGCGGACATCGAACAATGGTGGGGACATTGTCCCCATGCAGTGGTATGAAGAAGCTCTGAATTCATCGTCACGAACTGAACCAAAGTGTATAATTATCAACATTTAACGATCCGATATTCTGGTCTGAAAATGAATTATGTGAAGTTGTAATTAGAGTATTGTGTTTAGTCGAGTCGAGTGATATTAATTAAATAATTAATTTCTGTGTCCGGTAATGAACTAATTATGCATTCGGTAATAAGTTATACTCTGAAAGTAAATAAGAATGGAAATCTTTGAATTAATTCATGTCACCCATTTTCATAAATGCAGCATTAATTAAGAAGGAATGAATTGGCACCAAAGACAAATTGAAACCTTTACAAATTCGTGTTATCCATGTTTATGCGACTTTTTATCGTGGTGGTAATATGGATTACACAAGTAGAAGTAATTACTTATTCAAATACATATAATTAACTTTAACAAATATCGATTATCTTAATTACACTTATTAAGTCAGACCGTCATTCAGCCCTTATCCGTAACTTCTTGTTTCCTACTTTCGTTACAAAAATGATAAGTTTTCATGCATACGTAAAACCTGGAAAATTGGAAGTTCACACGTATGAACTTTTTCATATAAAAAAATAAACCGATTTGTTAACAAATCAATTTGCATGAAAACTTTAACGTGACGAGTTTCAGTGGATCAAGGTATTTGCACACGCAAAATTCCCAAGGTTCGAAACTTTACAGAAATACAGTTAAAGCTGAAAATTAGCCTTTTTATTTTTCATATTATCCAATTTTCTCGTGTTTTAGGAATTTACGATATAAAATCTCATGCAAAAAATCCAAGAATCCATGCAAAATTTCCTCCTCTCTACATTGAAATCTTCATTACTACATTATTACTCATTTAGTTTATAGCTGTTTAATACTTACATAAGTACATAGATTTGCAAACAAGTATGCAATTTATAATTTTGCATTTTGCAATTAATTTGCAACGTGTCACGATGAAATGAGAGATGACATGTGTGTCTTGTTACATCAAACTTTTGTTCTTACGTTAAATTGTGTACTAATTATAATCATATATTTAATTATCATTTGTCACATCCATCTTATTTTTGTTAAATACAGTGTTAGAAACCTGGTAGAGTCACATATGTACTCCGCTAGGTGTAGATTTGGTAATAACTTTTTACCGGATTGGTGGTGACCTGTGTCTGATTGGTTAATTTACCGTAAACATTACCACACGGTAATGATCGTTAATACATATATAGCTTACATATGTAGAGTCAAATATGTATGTACTCCGGTCAGTAATAGTTTACTACCAATTGTGTTTGATCTGAATCGAGGTCACCATTATTCCCATGGACGTGGTCATCATGCTACCATCGTCTCATTACCTGTTTACTGGACATCTCTCCAATTCCATACGTTGTAATTTGCAAAGCAAGGAAGCAATGTAATGAATCACAATCAGACTGATCCAGATTTCTTTTGATAAACAGATTACACTAATAAGGATTTCTTCAATACCAGTTTTCTAAGAGTGTATGTAGATAAGCAACGTAGATAAGCCAGCCTTGGTCGGGTATCGAAAATTTTGCTTTGAGATGCGATTCTGTTCCTGCAATTGTTCTGCGATAAGGTTAATTAATTTCGCCATAATTCACAATGCCATTACGCCTTCGCCATTAAGATGCATGCTGTAGCGTTGTATGTTTATAAACATAAAATGTATGTGTACATTCTTATGCAACTGTTATTGAATCATTACCGAACGGAGTACATATACGACTCTACCAGCATCGGTAATATCGATTGTTACGGCGTCGTAGTAATGTGGTGGTAATGAAATCGTTACCACTCAGAATCAAACTATAACCAATCCGGTAGGGAATTATTACCAAATCAATACCAGCACGGAGTACATAGATATGTGACTCTATCCGATGCTTTACTTAAATGTCCGATTGGAAGAAGATGCATGTTTTTAATTCGACTGTTAAACAATGTGAGGAAATTAGTTAACTAACTTGAATTAAGTTATGAATATGACATAGATAATTATGTGATATGCGTTTTTCATGAAAAATGTGATGAATTATTAAATGCTAAATAATGTTTCTGGAAATTGAAAAGTATGATTTTATATATGCAAATATGAACACCTAGTTTGTCACTAACTTAGAAAATACCAGAAAATGCTGTTATGCAAGGTACACATGTACGTATTTAGAAACACGCCTGAAATATGTGAGATTTCCATGCAGAATTTTTCATAATTGATAATAAATTACCATTTTTCTAAGTTATCGATGTAGTAAATGTATGACATAATTAATCAATTTGTAAACGAGACACTTTGCAATTTAATGTAATTATGCAAAATATATTGTTCAAATATATTCAACTTTTCGAATTTCTACTACACGCATTCATATATAAATTGCTTCTGAACAATGACATGGTTCATTTCATTCATATTAATTTAACATTCATGTGATGATATATGGCTCATAATAATTTAAGTTTAACATTCAACCAAGTTTTTTTAAAATAGATATTATAAAAATACTTGATAACAAAGATTGATTGCATCCCCGATCATAATATTCCACGCATTTCAAGGTTTTTGTACTTGGGGGGTTGTTTCGGGGGATTAATTCGATGCTAATATAGTTTATTCGAATTAAAAATTGGAGAAATCGAAAAATTGAAGCTCTATTTTTAATTTGTAAATTTTGATAACGTTAAATTTTTTAGATTTCTCTAAGTCCGGAGTCTTTTTTACTTTTTTTATTAAAAATTCGAATAAACTGACACAACTTGCATCGAGTTAATCCCCCAGTAACCCCTTCCCCCCAAGTGCAAAAACCTTGCCTTCATTTCTCTTCCACCCCACGAATTGGTGTGATGTCTGGTGATGACAGGATTGAGCGTCGCCTCCGCCACCCGTCCGATCCACAGCCGCCCTCGTCCTCCAGATCGTCGTTGCCATCACGGGACGTCGGGGTGCAGAAGTCCCGCCGTCCAGCGCCAAAGTATGCGGACTTGGAGACGTTGACATTGTCTGGAGTGCAGAAGGAGGATGACTCGTCGGAATTCTTGGTGCGAAGTGGGGATGCAAGGAGACGCATTGGTCCAAGAGGGTCTTCAATTGGGTACCGTGGTGGAGGTGAATTCTCAGCCTGGAGGGGGAATAAATATGTAAATCAGTATTTCGGGTGTAATAAGGGTGTAATAAGTAATTATTTGAAAGAAATAATGGAAAGAAAGTGGTTTTTTGTAGGTATTTTTGACCTATAAGCAGAGTCTTGGGATTAACGAAAGTGGGATTAATGATTAGGATTACGGATTGATTTTAAAAAATTCGGGATTGAGGATTGAGATTAGGGATTAAATTAACTCGGGATTAAAATTAATTCGGGATTAAATCTCTCAAGTCATTCAATGGGATTAGGGATTAGGATTAATTTAGTCCGATTTTAATCCCGGAATGGGATTAAAGTCGTGTTTATCGTCGATCACATTTATATCTAGTTAATGTTTCTGATGTCTTAATTAAATTGTTTTATAAGTCTTAACAGTGCGATTGAATTTGAATAACCTAATGACCATATAAATAATGACCTAAAGTGTGAGTTGTCGCTTAAGTGACTTAAGTCCAGTCTCCATTTGATTAACATTCAAGTGTGAATGAGTGGGCATTACCACTGGCCACTCTAGGTTATTATTATACGGCCACAAGAATATGAAGTGTACAGATGAGTGACATAAAATAAGTTTACTTAGTCATCAGTGAACTAAAATCAACTTTAACAGATGAAGTCTTATCAAATGTTTTTAAATACATGAACTATTTGTTTAATAATATCGAATTTTTGTTTGTGAAATACAACGATGGAATTTCGATAGTTATGGCCCATAACTTATGGGAAACATATTTTTAATTGAAACAAAAGGAGAACTGGCAAAGTCTCTGAGAATTTTCAGCAGGTGGAGCTGATTTAATCCCATTTTAATCCCAAACTTGGATTAAGATTAATCAATGCGCTCCGGGATTAGGATTAGGGATTAATTATTTTTTCAAAACTTTTTGGGATTGAGGATTAGGGATTAAAAGTCAAAACTTGCGGATTGGGATTAAGGATCAATTAATCCCCAATCCCAATCTCAATCCTCAATCCGTAATCCCGGATTAAGAAGGCATATACGTTGAAAAAATCTCATAACTAAAAGACAGAGACGACGGTTGCGTCTCCTTGTGTGCCGAGAGATTTTTTGCTAATGAGGGGGGGCGGGGCGAAGAGAGCAGCTGATTTTCATGTAAACAATGCAGGCAGTTGCATGTAAAAAGTTGCTTTGGGTTTTGAGAGTGACCGTTCCCACTCTCCAAACGGGGCATCGCGAACCAGAAAAGGAGAAAAATTTCGACTAAAACTTCTAATTTGCAGCTAATACAAAATGGATTGATTTCGTTTTGGTGGCAATAAATTCCCAAGTTTGTGCTTTACAATTGCCATGTTGCATAAATTCCATAATAAATCTCAGAGAAAAGTATTGAACTGAAACATGGACTCATATCATGTTTCAGTCCAATACTTTTCACCGAGATTTATTATGGAATTTATGCAACATGGCAATTGTAAAGCACAAACTTGGGAATTTATTGCCACCAAAACGAAATCAATCCATTTTGTATTAGCTGCAAATTAGAAGTCTTAGTGACAAAAATCATTTACATTACTGGTAAGTGGCGAGGAGAAAAAGTCAACTCGCTCACTAGGATGCCCAGACTGTTCCCTAACTCAAACTTTAACCAGACTCTGCCTATAAGAAATGCAAGGCGCAAGAAACTACTCCCTTCCGATGGTACATGGCTAGATTGCAGACTTGGCCAAATTAGTAATTGAAAATTACAAAATATTAATTGTAATATAAATTACTTCAGTCGAAAAATGTAATTATAATTGAATGATTACAGAGTTGTTAGTTCAGTACATTGTTAAAAGTGAACAAGCATTGAAATTATTTTAATATTAAATGATGAATGTTCATTAAAAAATATCTAAACCGCAATTGGTATAATTAAATTTTGAATTGTCTTGACTAATTGTATCTGAAGCAATGCTGTGATTGTAATTTTACAATCACAACATTGCTTCAATTACAAGTTATAATTTGTAATTTGACTTTCAAGAAAGGCCAGCTTTGCTAGATTGCACATATTTTTTGCAGTTTCTTGCACCTTGTATTTCTTGCTTTGCAGTGTAAGAAAGGAAACAAACACTTTTCTAAATATTCGATAAGTCAGATAGTATTCAAATTTCATAATTATAATTTATGTACATACATCTGCAAAAGACAAGTCGAGTCGTCGCCTCGCATTCATTTGAAAAGACCGAAACGATTTCGATGACGTTTGAGAACTTTCATCTACTTCAAAATCCCAGAGATGCTCGTCATTATTTGGAAGTGACTTTGATAACGTTTCTGAACAGCAATCAACCTGATATTGGTTTAGAATTAGTTAACTTTAGATGATAACAAAATCATTAATTGTAACAATTATCCACCATATTGAAGTATGGTCCCAACACGGCCGCGACTTGTTCGGGCAGGTCACCCGGTGGCAGGGAGAGGACCGTATTCGTCCAACTGTTCATCGAAATTGCCGCACAACTTTGACGTCGTCGTCGTGGTCCCGGAGGTGTCGAACCCAACAGATTTGCGGTTGGGTTGCGAACAATGCCATCTGGTGTGGGAGCGATTGGTCCCCCGTTGAAGAAATCGGTGATATCTTGCTGAGCCTGGGCTTCTTGTAGGGCATCCACAGGGTACGGATTGGTATGAGATGATGGCGAATCTTCTAATGACTTTGGGAACAATTCCGCCATTTCGTTGATCGTCCAGCCTTGGAATTCCTTGGGCGTCGTGGGGGTGGACGTCAGGAAGACAGACGGTGACAAGATAGACGATTTCAAATTACGGAGACAAAATGGTTCGAAGGGGTTCACTCTGGAAAAATAGAACGAAGAAATCAATCAATCAAAATGAATAATTATTGATTTCGTACATTCCACAATACAAAAATGACACCTTGCTTAAAGGTACCCTTATACTTCCCCCTTTGTTAACTTGCGCCCTAGTTAAATCATAACATTGGCGCAAGTTACTAAAGTATAAACTCATTATTGAACTCAAAATATATCACATCACACATTCCACAATACGAAAAAAGGTCTAAAGAAAGATGCCTTTATACTTGACTCCTTGCTAACTTGTGCCCTAGTTAAACCTTCACATTATTGGCGCAAGCCACCAAATCAGTCAAGTATTTATTTATAAACCCTCCATCCGATAACCCCTTACCTCTCCGTACTACCCATCATCCCCACATCACTGCGCCCCGCACTGCTGCTCGCCATCGATGAATTGCTTCGATAAGACATCGGCGTCGACATGTACACGACGTTATCTTCTTGTTCTTCCTCCACCACCACCGTCATCTCGCTCTTCCTCCGCTTGACCGGCGGAACTGAGGGAGACGAACAATCTTCCTCCTCTTCCTCCCCCTCTCGTGGCGAAGATAACCCTCCAGATTCCGACACCCCAGACATATTCATTTCACCACTTCCTCTCTTCTCCATATTTATAAATTTATTTTAATTTATTTATTTAAAGTTCCTATTTCAATTATTTATCAGAGATCATCAAGCGAGATCACAGAGTTTTGAACACAGTAAATTTGAACTCTTGTTGATTTTGGCCGGCGATCTACTACCCTTACACCTTACTAATGACTATTATACTACAATTAATTAATTAATTACTGATTGACATGATATTTACAGTAGTAAATTAATTAATCAATCAATTAATTTCTAAATAACGGATCACAGAAAATTTATTTATCTGCCTGTCTTGGCAGCAGAACTCTCTTCCTCCATCCAACCAACCAAACCACCACCGCAAACTGACACCGACTTCTTCTTTCTGGACACCGACTACTTTTTGAGACGAAAATCTCACCTTTTTGTGTCAACCTACCCCAGAAAAAGCCCCCCCCCACACATTCATCTCTTCGATCAGAGTCGCCCTCTCGCAGCGCCTCGAACGGTGGCGCTGTCGCCGCGCTGAGGAATCATCATCATCATCCGCGTCTGAATAATGTACACGGTATGTTAAAGGAAGACCACATACCAAACTTTACTAACTTTGAGGAGAGAAAAGGGTTTCATTTTTCTGCGAGGGGTCACCACACCCACATTTCGATGAATTCCCATTCCCAATGAAATGTCGGAGTAATCTCGTCAACTTGCTTTATGCGAAGGGCACCCGTCCCACGGGGGAGGGTGAGTCAGGTATGATTGCCCCCGAAGAAGAAGGGTGACCCACCAATCCAATACCACCAAAGATATACTCTATATTGTCATTATATTATAGCCACGAAAAACCTGCCTTCTTGGTCAGAGAGTCAGCCTAATTCACTCAACCAACCTATCATCCATCCGTGATACACTACAGCCGAGCTCTACGTATGTACGTACGGACAAGCACAATAATAATAATAATAATAATAATAATAGTACTAAATACTAATAATAGTAGTGGTCTGGTAGGACGGATAAGAAATTTGGAGAGTATCAGATCAGCACCCTCAAAAGGTTGTGGGGAAGGAAGGAATTTGGTAATTGGTGGGGACGAATAATATAATAAGTTACTAAGAGTCGGCAGCTAAGCTATTGTTAGTATAACGGTGAAGATAAACGTCGGCGACGACGATAAGATAGATACCCGGGTGACGACGAGGGGTTTAATTGCAAGGATGACGAGGAGGGGGAGGAAGATGTAAGAAGAAGAAGAAGAATTAGTTAATTTGATGGTAAGTTTGATGGGATGATTTTTTTAGGGTCGGTCGGCTCTTTAAAGTTTAAAAGGGGATTAGTTAATCTCTTTAAAGAGTATTTTTAGTGTTGTTATTGTTATCTATCTTGTGGGATTAGTTATTCATTGTTGTTTTGTTCTTGTTTTTGTTGTTCTTCTAGATCAAAAGTTTGGTTGGTGTTGTTTGTTTGTCGTTCGAGGATCAAATTTCGACGAGGAAGGAGGTGAGTCAATTTTATTAGTTTTTCGAACTTGAAATATGATCGAAATTGTTTAATAGTTGTGTTTTCTTGGGTTTTTATATGAGAAGATACGATTCTTCTACGGGACGGATGGATGGACTCGTCGCGATATATTTGTAACGAAGTTTATAATTAGAAGGACAGTATTTTCATTGGATTCGTCGTGAGAAGAAGGTGGATATCTTGTGGATTGGATTGCATTTAATTAAACTGTGTGATCGTTAATACGTGAATAAGGTGTGAACTTGTTTTGTGAATTAAGTGGTGAGATTAGAAACAGATAAGCCCAACGAATTAGTTAAACACTAATTAAAGTGTCGTTTATCATCGTGACAGAACGAAGGAACGAGTCGAATTTTGATTGATCAGAAGAACGGTTCAATTGTGAAAAGTGAGTAAATATTGTTTTATCATTAATCATTATTATTATTAGCATATTAGTTAATTCCTTCATAATTTGTGGATTAATTTACAAGTTTATTTTGTAAATTTGAAGTCGTGTTAATCTTTTGGAAGGAACGACTATTTTTTTATAAATACGGCAAGATCTAGAAAGAAATAATATCAACGTCACGTATCTTAATTTAAATGTAAATCAGACAAGTTTTAAATATCATCTTATCAACATTTTAAATCAAAAAGGTAGTAAAAATATCACACCTAACGCAAAGATAAGACAACAATCTTGACACCATTATATTTGGTTATTAATTTAATATTAGTAGACATCTCTGCGGTTTTCGAGGATAATACTTGATTTATTGAAAAATTGCTAGCTTTCAGTGACCCACAGTCATCTTCATCAGGCATGTACAAAGATTTTGGAAATCACAATCATTGCTTATTTTTAAAAATATGATAATCTGTTATACATTTTGCTACTTGGTTACTGGACGTAATTTATAAAAAATTATTAATTTAATTTTTCTCTCCTCGCCCAATCTCAATCAAGTACATAAAAATGATTACGATTTAGACAAAACAATCCTTCACTGTCCAGTCAGAAATGACGACGTCAACAATCTCGAATGACCATCATCCACCCCCCGTATTTTTTTCGACTAAAACTTATATAACTAAAAGGACTGAATTAGTCATCTTATCTCACTCAACATTCCACCCCTATTTTTATTCAACTTTGTGTAAAGACAAAGGTCGTAAAATTTACGACTTTATTATTCCCAAAAGTTATACTCAACGTAATTCGAGCTGGATCTTGTTACAAGATAATAATTTTGATGATCTGATTTCACCCTGAGATTATACCACCAGCATCGCTGCATAAATTGCACAATCAGACAAAACACATAAATAATCCAGGTCCACTTTGTTGTTTAATGATGACGATGACGACGATCTTTAAGTGTTTGAATTGAATGAATTTTTTGGCTGTTTTTGAATGAATGAATGTTTCTCCTAAAATTATGAATATGGGGGGAGATGGGGAACATAGTTTGGAAGAATGTGAAGTATTTTGAGGTCTGTTCTTCTCAGGGTTTGGATTTCCGGGGGTGTTACACCCACAAAGAGACGAGAATCTACGTGGAGAAGACAATTGTTCTTCAAAAATATGGGTTTTGTGAAGAAATTAACTATTAATCGCTGGAAAATTACGTTATTTTTTAAAAAATCGTGAAAACAATGTATTTTGATAGAGATTACAAGTTAATTCCTTCACAAAACCATTGTTTTCGTACAACTGTTGTATTCTTCATGCAAATTTTCGTCTTCTTGTGGGTGTAACACCCCTGAAAATCCAAACCCTGGGTTCAGAACGGGGCTCAAAATACTGTCCATTTTTCCAAAGTATCGTCCCCACCTCTGAATATTAGTTGCGTATAGATGAACGGAATTGGTCACGCGAACCTCCCCCACGGTGGTGGTGTCCCCACGCCCCCTCCCCGTAGCAATGGACATCCCTCACCCACCCCACAGCTACAACCTCCTCCTCCCAACAACATCCTTGACAATTGTGTGTAAGTCTCTCCTCCCTGCTCGTCGCGTGGCGTGGCGTGGCGTAGACGTCGGTAGATAGAATTGTGTGTCTGTATGTGTGTTTGTGTGTATTTAGTAGTTTACAAAGTTTAAGTAAGGTCAAGGTCACAATCTAATTTGAATAATACCCCGTGGTCACGCAGACTGGTGAGTCGTCAGGTCACGGAGCAACGGCAGGAAAGAGTGGTCACTCGTACAGAGTTTACGTCGCACAGGTTAGAATTTGTCGTCATCAAGTCGTATCGTATCGTATCGTGTCGTCATCTTTGCCAGCTTTTGATAAGTCGAAATAATAATTATATTGTTTAATTAATTAACTATATATATTTAATTATGTAAATAAGTAGTTGTTATCATTATTGTTTAGTTATCGTACAGGTTAGCATTTAGCATTTGTCGTATCGTGTCGTGTCGTATCGTCATCTTTGCCAGCTTTTTTGATAAGTCGGAATAATAATTATATACTTTTTAATTAATCAACTATATATTTAATTAAGTAAATAAGTAGTAATCATCATAATAGCATTATTGTTTAGTTAGTTAAAAATAATGATGCATAATGACGACGATGGACCACCTCGGTTTTTGGGGGGTTGTCTCTCCACATGTACATATGTAATTGAACTTTAATTATTTTTATTATTGACGTTCTCCCGGAACAGATAATTGATTATTGTGTAACGTAGCCATTTCCGGTTTGGTCAGTCCATTTATTTACATTACGACAGGTTGCAGGGATTCTGATGGTATAAAAAAAGTTGTCAATAACATATCCCATTATTGTTTTTCCTGCTGCTGGGTAAAAACGGTTCAATTGTTGAGGGAGGGGACGACAAGTTTTGATTGTTCTGCACCCATTGTTGTATTATTGTAATAATCATCATTACATTAATTTATTTGGGCTACCAATTTGTCAACGAGAGGAAGGTTAGGTTGCTGCTGCTACTTATTTATTGGTAAAATAAGCCCCAAACTATCTATTTATTTACCAAAAGTATGTAAGTAAGTAAAGACCACCTTCCTGCTTATCGGTCATTTCATGGATAGATTAGATATTAAAATTGCATTGTTCCGTCTCGTCAATCATGTCGGGTTATGTTGGGAGATGGTGGATCTGTCATGTTCTCCTGGCAGGAAGGGCACTGATTGATGGATTGTTCCCTCCAGGAAAAGTTGCCGATTAATAATGAGTCATTAATATAAGGATCAATTATTTGAGTCATAGTCCCCTCGAGGAAATCCCAGCTAGTGATGTGTCACGCATGTAAAAATACCTCTTCCTTCCTCAATTTCGGCTTTTTTTTCTATCCATTACGAAGTACATTCCATTCCATTACATTCCAACTTTTACTTTCTTTCGTGGTCTGGATTCGTCACGGTGTTAGGTTTTGTTGTCATTTTATTTATGGACGAGGGTTGTCTGGTGGTGGTGGTGGTGGTGGTGGGTGGAATGGAATGTTATCCAGTAGTCTATAATTAACCAGTGATATTAGTTGGTAACGAGGAAGTCATTGTGTCCAGTCGGAGGGTTGGATTTTGTTAGGTCTATTTGTTCTTAGGAAGATAACAACTTGTTATTAACAAGGACGATAAATGGAATGGATGAGTGGATAAATATTGTATCAGTTAGGCAGGTTGTGTATAGTTTGGTTTGATAAGGCGGATATCATTAGGTATTATTATGGGGAGCACTAATATTGCAAGATACTGAATGGGAGGAGTCAATACCTTGTTGTCGGATGATTCCATTCCACTGATATCCGGTCAAGTGATGAGAATCAACGTTTCGTTAATTTAACTCTGTTAATTCACTGTTTTGTATGAAGTAAAAGTAGTAAATTAGTAATAATCTGGCTGTGCTGTGAATGCAATTAGTTTTTTGGGATCAAATTTGAACGAGTAATTATTAATTAATTAATTATTTATTTACTGTCCTTGTGGTCTGGTCTTCGTGATTTCTTGGTTGTTTTTTTTGTTCCCCTGATTTGAAAAGTTTTCTCTTTTCCATTAAAAAACTAATTTATGTGGTGATTTCTTGAAATAATTGATACTTCTATTATTTCGTGATGTGGTGGTCTGTCTGTGCGCAGGTTTTGTTTACTTATTTGACCTTGAGGGACAACCTGATTTTGCAAATTTTCTTTTTTTGCAGAAAGGAAGGCGCCCAAGCAGCAGCAGTGTTAAGTCCTCCTTCTCCTTCTCAAGGTGTGACGACGACGAGTAATGGGCACAACCACACCCATCACCCCCACCACCACTACGGGCACACGCAACATCACCACCACCACACTCTCCAGCCCGCAAACGATCCATCTCCATCGCGTGCGAATCTCTTGATCCATTCGCGTTCCAGCTCGTTAACGAATAACGGGGGAGGTTCCAGCGGTGCGCTGTCGCATTTGGACCTTATCTCTTCAGCAGACCCGGCCAGCAGCAAGAATAATACGCTCACTAGGAAGACTACGACGACTACGGTAAAGGAAACTTGGAATGGTGGTGCGATCAGATTTTGAGGAAATTAGTGGAAATTGAGAACAGATTTAGTTAGTATGGAATTTGGGAAAGATATGAATTCGAAATGGGCACGTTTGGTGAAGGGATTTGCATCCAAAGAGGAAAAAACTATTGGAAAGTGTAAAGCTTGTCGATTTTAAGGTTCGTTTTCTCCTCTTCGGATGCAAACATCTCGGCCAAACGTGCCCATTGGGAGATCGTGGCTTTCGCAAATTTCATACTAATTAAATTTGTAACCGATTGACACTACTTTGACCCTCAAAATCTGAGAGTATACGCTGGAAGACCTCGATTTTTAATGGAGGAAGTTAGATTATAATTGTTCTTTACTTTGTGCAGGTGACCACTTCGGAGCGGAAGACGACGAACCTGGTGCGTGAGCTGATGGGCCCTGATGGTCAACAGATGGAGTACACGGCCCGACCCTCCAACAACCCACCTGTGACGGAGTACGTCCCCAATAACGCGTGCCCTCCTCCCTCCGCCCACTTCCCCCCGGACAACAATGGACCACAGTACGACCCCACGCTCGTCCAAGACCCGTACGGTTATACGCGCGGAGCTCTCCCACCCGACCCCGCCGGTAATGATAAGACTATCACCACGAACAATGGAGGTCGACCAGCGGGTGCTCTCAGATTTTGAGGAAATTAGTGTCGATCAACTACAAATTTGATTAGTATGAAATTTGGGAAAGACACGATCTAGGAATGGACACGTTTGGCAGGGATATTTGCATCTGAAGAGGAGAAAATGGAAGATAAATTTGAAAAGTGTACAATTTGTCGAATTTAAGGCACGTTTTCTCCTCTTGAGATGCAAATATCTCTGCCAAACGTGCCCATTGGGAGATCGTGTCTTTCCCAAATTGCATACTAATTAAATTAGTGATTAATTGGCATTAATTTGCTCAAAATCTATGACTATACATTGAGAGACCTCCATTGTTTATGTGTATATTCTGTCCACCCTTTTTTTCTTCGTGATTTACGTACATTTTTATCTCTATTTCTCAAGTTTGTATGTAGTTATTTTGCACGTTTTATATTTTATTTTGTTTTATTTTTTATTTATTTTCGTCTTCTCTCTCGCGCGCCTGGTTGGAATGGACAGGTCGACGATACAATAATCACCACCATCTCGGGTACTCGGACTACGAGCAGTATCCGGAGTACGGGAGTTTCACCGGGGTGGGTGGCAGTGGTGGGTATCGGCCCTCCACGCCCAGCGAAGCGTCGGACTCTCCTAGTCTAACACGAAATAACAACTCAGGTAGGGATCGATCGATTAAAGAAAACGTACGAGATTCTCTCCCCACACGGTCCGCTTCAGTCTTATCGTTTTGTTTACAATGTTGTTTGTTGGTTGTCCTGCACTCGTTCTCTCCTTAGAAGGGAGATCGACCAGTGGGTACGATCCGATTATGGGGGGAAAACTAGTGTTAATTGATGATAAATTTAGTTAGTATGGAATTTGGGAAGGATATGAACTCGGAATGGGCACGTTTGGTGGAGGGATTTACATCGGAAGAGGAGAAAACGCGCAGTAAATTTAGAAAGAGTGAAATTTGTCGATTGTAAGATACGTTTTCTCCTCTTTGGATGCAAATATCTCTGCCAAACGTGTCCATTGGGAGATCGTGTCTTTTCTAAACTTGATACTAATTAAATTTGTGATGGATTGAGACTAGTTTGACCCTCAAAATCGGAGAGTATCCGCTGGTCGACCTCCATTGTGAGTCGTGTTGATTAAGTTAACGAATAATAATGAGGGGGATTACTTTTGCAGACTACCTGCGTGGCGGTGGCTACCCTCCCGGAGCTTATGACGACATGGACTCTGGTGTCGTCCCCAGACCCGAATATCTTTCTCCATCCGCTAATGCTCATCCTGGAAATTATGGTAAACTGCTCAGACGTTTCTCTGTATTACCAGCAGCTTTTGTTCTCGTTCTGATTGTTCTGAATTTTTGCTTTATTGTTTGTGTCCTAATTTTTGTTTTGTTTTGTTTTGTTTCTTGTGTTCGTTACTTTTGTGTGTGTCCCTCCGGCTTTTTGGTGTAACGAACGATTGATCAGAGGGAGGCGGAGAATCACGCGGAAATGGAGGTCCGTCTTACTGGACTGCAGCCAATTTGAATAATTCCACCTCCCACTACGGCAACCTTCCCGTGCGGCCGTACCTCCTGCAAGAGGGTGGTAACGGCGGCGTTGGGGGTGGGGGCATGGTCGCCATTCCGGAATCGTCCTCCCCCTCGTCCACCTTTCTCGTGCCAAACAACAATACGAACAGTAACAATCATCACCTACACAATCACTCGGCCCCCCCACCTCCCCCCTCCCGTCCTCCATGCAGATGCAGATGCAGATGCAGTTGGACAACTCGAGCGGCGAGATGCAGATGGAAGCCGCCCTTCCGCCGCTGCATCACCACGCCCACTCGCACTCCCACCTCCATCAGCAGGGTGGCGGTGGTGGTGGTGGGAGTGGAAGTGTGGGAGGAAGTATTATCATGAATCATGAGAATTCCTCCAGTAGCCAGAACCACTCGCCGGCAGCAGGTCCCCCTTTTTTTGTTTGTTTTGTGTTTTATGCTTTTGGTGGTGGGCCTGTTTTTGTTTTTAAAAAATATGATTAAAATGGTGACGCATCACCAAAGTCGTTAAAATCAGCAGGTTTTAATGATTTCTCCGGTCTGGGAATTTATTTTAAATTTCTGGACGACAAATTTGTAGTCTATGAGTTAATTAACGGAATGGCGTCGAGTTTTTTGAGCCAGTTTCGATGAGTTCCAAGTTCTCTGAAGGCTTCTTAAACTTGAGATCTCATCCACCAAAAAGTGTCAAAATCTGGAGTGTATATAATAATCCAGAGCGGAGAAATGATTAAAAATGTAGACGATTAGTCTTCGATTTGTATGTTAATTGTCTTTGATTCTTTGCGCAGGTGTGAGGTGGCGCGACCCCGACCTTCACGAAGTCATCCAATTTCTAGGGAATCAAAACCCCGTGGTGAAAGCGAATGCGGCCGCCTACCTGCAACACCTCTGCTATATGGACGACCCCGTGAAGGCGAAAACCCGCGCGCTCGGCGGAATCCCCCCACTCGTCGCCCTTCTGAGTCATGACCAACCCGAAGTTCATCGAAACGCTTGCGGCGCACTGCGAAACTTATCGTACGGGCGTCAAAACGATGAGAACAAGAAGGCAATCAAGTCCGCGGGCGGGATTCCCGGTCTGGTCCGACTTCTCAAGAGGACACCCGACAACGAGGTCAAAGAACTCGTCACCGGCGTCCTTTGGAACTTGTCCAGTTGCGAAGAGCTCAAACGCGCCATAATTGACGACGGGATTTTAACCCTCGTCAACAATATCATTATTCCTCACAGCGGATGGGATCGGAACAGTGGGCCGAACAATCAACACATTCCGGACGCCTGTTGGTCCACCGTGTTTAAGAATTCGTCGGGTGTAGTGAGGTAAAAAAGATAAGGAGGCACGGTAAAAACGCCCATCGGTATTTCAGTACGGCCGTATCAAAAATCGCATTGCGAGCCATCCGTACTCAACCGAAGTACAATCGTACTCCGTCCAAGTGGGAATGTATTCAAATTTAAGTACGGATGGCTCGCAATGCGATTTTTGATACGGCCGTACTGAAATACCGATGGGCGTTTTTGCCGTGGGAATGGAGGAGGTCGACCAGCGTATTTGATTAGTATGAAATTTGCGAAAGACACGACCTTCAAATGGTTACGTTTATACCTGTTCAAAAATTTAGTTTTCATTCAAAAGTCAGTCATCCCAATTTCTGACTGAAAATTGTCATTCGCACTCAGTCATTTTCGTTCAAATTCATTTCATTTCATTTCATTTTTTACTTCGCTCCATGTATTAAGCACAGGATGAAGAATGAAATTAGTGAGAAATCTTTCATTCACAGTCATTCATCTTAAATGACAAAATCTTTCAATTATTTTCACTCAAATCACAAGAAATTCATTTTCATTCACTATCACTTACCATCATAATCACTCAAATGAATGAAATTGAACAGGATGGGCACGTTTGGAGGAGATATTTGGATCTGAAGAGGAGAAAACGCGCCTTAAAGTCAACAAATTGTATGCTTTCGAAATTTCCCACGCGTTTTCTCCTCTTCAGATGCAAATATCTCTTGTATGGATTATTACTGTAGTATGGATTATCAAAATGTAAATGAAGTTGTGCCAAGTTAACACATCGATTTCTAATAAACATTTCATCTCAGGCCAAACGTGCCAATTGGGAGATCGTGTCTTTCGCAAATTTCATACTAATTAATTCTGTTATCGACTGACACAAGTTTGACCCTCAATATCTGAGAGCATACATTGGGAGACCTTCATTGTATATAAGTTTCCAGAATTTAAAATTTCCTAATTTTGAAAATATTTCCTCCTCAGGAACGTAAGTTCGGCGGGTGAATACGCGAGGAAAAAGTTGCGCGAGTGCGACGGACTTGTCGAAGCTTTACTACACGTCGTGCGAGCCGCCCTGTCTCGAGCGGACATTGACGACAAGAGTGTGGAGAACTGTGTCTGCATTCTTCGCAACTTGAGTTATCGTTGTCAAGAGGTGGAGGACCCGAACTATGATAAGCACCCACCCCCCTACGACAAGCAGAGCAGGGCTAACGCGACGCCGGCCAAGGGGGAGAATTTGGGGTGCTTTGGGGCCAACAAGAAGAAAAAGGAGGCCGCCCTGGTGTCCTCGTCGAGTCCGAAGGATTCCAGCAATTCGGTGAATGCTCAGGGTGGCGGGGGCGGCGGCGGCGGGCCGACACGGTCAAGCAGTCAGCAGAGGACGGAACCCATTCGGGGAATGGAGCTCTTATGGCAGCCGGAGGTACTTAAGATATTGATTTACTGGTTCATTTAGAAGAGAAAATTGGCAACAAATACTGGGGAGATAACTTTGTAAAATAAGTAAACTTACAAACTTTTAACTATTTATGAGGAAAATTAGATTACAAATTTGTGTATGCTTGCTCAGATTGATTGATTCGTCTCCGATCACTTTGTATAATTCCTTTTCAATAACAGTTATATTGCAGAATTTGTATTCCATAAAAGTTTCCATAATTCATTATCTTATAATTGTAAAAAATTAATTAGAATTTATTGATTGATTGATCTACTTGTTTCAATGAGACACCCCATTTCTGCGTTATTACGCCTCAAGGTAGTGCGTCTTCCTATTGCGTAAAAAAATTATGGTACAAGGAGACACATGGATGTTACAAGTTACAAATGACTGCGTGAATTGCATCGATTGTATTCAATGATTTAAGGCTTAAGTCTATTAACAAATTGTTAATAACAATCGAATAAAGGGTTAACTTTGAAGTCTGTATGCGAGTGTTAACAGAAATCCGTTAAATTCTATGACACGATAAGCCATACTTACAACTAAATATGTAAGCAATAATCCTAAAATTGTAAAAACAATGCAATGAAATCGGAAGCTTGTAACCAATCGATAAACAAACAATGTATGGAAACTAACATATTCCATAAGCCTCAAAACAACTATTTTAATACATAGTTCGTACTTATGGTTAAAGTGTGAATTAAAGTACCTGGAGTTCGTAAAAACAATGACTCAATTCAAGCAGTCATTTGTAGCTTTGTGAAATCCATATACTTATGTACAAAGGAGAATTAGATTACAAATTTTTGTAAGTTTACTCAGGATCCTCAGATCAAAGGTGTCTCTGTATTTCGTAAAAGTTTGTAAAATTACGGTACAAAAAGCACGGATTTTATGTACAAAGTTTCCAAGTACTGTGTGAATTGATTCAATAACTAATTGTAATTAATTAACTAATTATTTTCCCCTTTTTTTCCAGGTTGTGCAGTCCTACCTCGCCCTATTATCTAATTGTTCTAACCCTGAAACGTTGGAAGCGGCGGCGGGCGCGATACAGAACTTGGCCGCGTGCTACTGGCAGCCCAGCATTGAGATTCGCGCAGCAGTGCGGAAGGAGAAGGGGTTGCCCGTGCTGGTGGAACTTCTGCGGATGGAGGTTGACCGCGTCGTCTGCGCGGTGGCGACCGCCCTCCGAAACCTCGCCCTGGACCAAAGGAATAAAGAACTCATTGGGAAATATGCGATGCGGGACCTCGTTCAAAAACTTCCATCGGGCCGACCCCACGACCAGAACACGTCGGATGACACGATTGCAGCCGTGCTCGCAACGCTTAACGAAGTTATCAAGAAAAATGCAGAGTTTTCCAGGTATGCTCCTCCGTTATCAATAGATAATGATGCAGTGTTCAGAATTAAGAATAAGTTTCAAGAAAACGATACAATTTTGAATGTTTCGAATTCAAGTAAGACTGAAATAACGGAAACAAAGTGGTTTCTTGCAGGTGAATATTTTGACCTTCAAGAAATGCACGGCACGAGACATGACGCCCCGCCGCTATAAATACTTCATACGGCGCGTGGCTGGATGGCCTATGTTTCTCACAGTTGTTTGCACCTCATATTTCTTGCGTTTCTTTCTTTGCAGTACACGAAACATAGCAAATCCAAAAGAAGCGAAACATTATAATGACGAAATTCACTTGAATGTTTATACCCCAGTAAACTTGGCAAACACAAATACACACCCTTTCAAACATTATGATTACCAGCTTATAAATATTGATAAATATTGATTAAGATATTGCAAATTTGCACAGATCGCGATACACTAAAATAATTGAGCAAAACACATACATTTTCTGGTTGTTATCATAAAATTTAACGAATTACGAATGAAACTTGCAGATCTCTGATGGAAGCCGAGGGAGTGGAAAGACTGGTTCTCCTCACTCAACAAAAGCGTCGTTTTTCCCCTCGCGCAGTAAAGTTCGCATCGCAGGTTCTCTACTCCATGTGGCAGCATCAAGAGTTGCGCGAAGTGTATAAAAAAGGGGGTTGGACCGAGTCGGACTTTGTCGCCAAAGGGGCCGGGGCACGAGGTGGGAGTCCCGGACCAAGCGGGAATGAAGCCAGGTACAGATCAAGACAAAACAACGATGCAGTTCACGCAGGACTTGGTAACTTTGTAAAATCCGTAAAGTTGCAAACTTTTACTCATATTTCGAAGGAAAGTTAGCTTCCAAATTTGTGTAAACTTGCTCAGATTAAAGGCGTCTCTTTATTTTGCAAAAGTGGGTATGGTATAAAAAGTAGGATTTTACAAAGTTACCAAGTACTGCGTGAATTGCCTCAGTATTCAATTAATTAACTTATTACCTTATCGGATATAATAATTCTTTTGCTCTATCTCAGTTCTGCTGGATCGCCGGTAAATGCAAATTCGACATTGAATCGACCCATGGCAAGTCAAAGTGGGACAAGGTACGAAGACAAAACCATGACGCGTGGGGGCAGTGGTCAAAATAACGTTCCAAAAAGCCCACCCCCCAATTACCCCCAGGTAAGCGGATAGATAAGCGTCACTCTCTCACCTCACGTATTATCTACTGACTAACATTATCCTAAACTCTCTTTCTCCTCCTCGTCCACCTCCTCGTCCTGTGTGCCCACTTGTCCCCATAACAAATCCACACATACATAAACCCCCCCTTCCCCCACGAGTATTACGCACGGCTGAAGGGTTGCAAAGCAGGTGTGGTGAGTTAGTGAGTGAGTGAGTATTTGGCTGCCACACAGGGTCACGAAGTCCCCTTGGCGGATATGCCTTATCCCGACGGAGGATCTCATGCCCCGCCCTCACACGGCGTCTTCCGCATGTATCCGCCCCACCCGGTGAGTCAATAAGGTTCCAGTTCAAGAAAACTAATAAATACAATACACAGTGGTCGCGGAAGGGAGCGGACAAAGTTAATTGTTTGATGTCGTATATAAAACCATAAACCAGTTTAATGTCCCCACAGCTTCCGCACCCACTGCGAATACATACATTACTTTGTCCTCTCCAGAGTGAAACATATAGTTTTATCTATGACGGACCAAACCACCTCTTTCTTCCTAACAAGATGTTTACTAGTACCATTAACATAATAATAATAACACGGGTGTGGGTGTGGTTTAGTTGATGTAGGATTGGATGACTGGTAGGAAAAATTAGTACATTTTTAATCATTTCTCCCCTCTGGGAACTTATTTTAAAATTCTGGGCGACAGGTTTGTAGTCAGTGAATTGAATAACGTTGAGTTTTTTAACCCAGTTTCGATGAGTTTCAATATTTCTGAAGGCTTCTTAAACTTGAGATCTCCTTTGTCAAAAAGTGTCAAAATCTGGAGTGTATATCTTTAAAAATTGGGAATGATCTGCTCTACAAATTTGTCGTCCAGAATTTTAAAATAAATTCCCAGAGCGGAGAAATGTAATTAAAAGTGTGCTCATTTTGATGATAAGTGATCCAGTCCTACTCTTAAAAAAATATATACTCACAAATACGGTATATTTTATTCTCCTTTATTCTTTTGCAGCCAAACGGATCTACTTAATCCCATTTTGCACACCACTCTTCTAGCCAGCACGCACCACTACTTACGCCACCACCACCGCCCCCACTCTCACTCACTCACTGACCCCACCAACCCCCCTCCCCTCCCCCCACCCCCCACTAACTAACAATCCCCCCCACTCGTCTCCTCCTGATAATAATCTGCAGCTAATTTACATAATCGCCACGACTAATGTCTCTTCTCGTTCTCTTTCTTGTTCCTCCTCTTCCGCACAACTAGTAAATCGAATCGAGAGTCCTATTCTTCCGTTCCGTCATCATTTCTGAAGGTGGTGGGTGTGATTTCTGTACGTAAAAAAAGTGTTAGGTCGCCCTCCTCCTTCTTCTTCTTCTAGACTTTCTCTCTCTTTATGAATAGGTTGGTCTCCTCCTTACTAAAAAAAACATGTGCATCTCATCTCAGTCAGATGATTAATACTTAATATGTAAATGCATGCAGTAGAGAATGCTGATTTATGATTTTTATGTGTGTATATATTCCTTTACTTCTCGTCTCTCTTGTGGTTGGTTTTATTGTGTTGTTCGGGAATTGTGGAATGGAGGGAGGACGACAATGATAAATGTGGGGTCTTTACAATGGAAGGTCTCTCCGTTTTTGGGCAAACTAGTGTCAATCGATGACAGATTTGATTAGGATGAAATTTGTCATCGATTGACACTAGTGTCAGCTGGGGGACCTTTATTGTTAGAATTTTGTCCTTATCATCCCCAAAGTTCCACAGCGCCTGGACTTTTGTACATTTATTTCCTCTCTCTCTCTCTCTACTTCAATTACGTACTTACTTGCATCCATTGATTGATTGATTGATTAATTATTTAATTTCTTCTTCCGTCCTATTTAGTAAACATTTTCCGATACATCAATAAATTGTTATCTTATTCTCCTCCTCCAGGTTAAACCCGGCGAGCCCCTGTACGCGCAAGTAAATCGTGAAAAGAAGAAGAACCGCGGCATGTACGAGGGAAACAATTCTCGCGGCGGTGGCGGCGGTCTTGGTTACGTGGGCGGAGGAGGAGGAGGAGGAGGCTACTGGTCCGAACATGACGGTCCCCTCATGACCACACCCCCCACCCATTCCGCCCAACAACCCGGTGGTGACTCGTGGGTTTGACAGTGAACTTTACATACTTTCTACCACCAAGCTCAATCAATCATTCAGACGGAGGAGGGAGGGAGGGGGACAAGATTCCAGGAAATTCTATACCCAGCAGCTGGAAACATGAATTAAAATACGGACGAAATAGGACGTTATCTTCGAGGGATTAACATTTATTGAGGGAAACCCATCACGAAATTATCCGCAGTTGTTCAAGTGTCATATAGTATAATTTGACATTCCTTGTGTCATGATAAGTGTAGAATTGTGAGCGGTGTGACGTGGTCAGTTTAATACTTAAGTAATTCTAATGTCTGCCTGTTGGCTTGTAAGTGCAGTGTAGTCGTCGTCGTCGTCGTCTATAGAAGATGATAAGTAGTTGTTCTACTGCTGATGCTACTGCTCTTTTTTGTGGTTGTTATCGTACATACATATTTAGTAGATAGTAAATATTAGTGTGATGTGATTTCTTCATGATAAGCTAAGCTAAGGATAAGTAAGATAAGAGCAAGAGCACTGAAAAAATTATTCAATGACTGAACACATGAGAAAAATTTCTACTCATTCCTGACGACAGGACTGACTGACTTACTTACTTACACACACAGATAATTCTCTCCTCGACTTAATTAGTTAATTAATTACTTAATTGCACACAACTTTTGGCGGCACAGTTTCCTTTAAATGTGGAGAGGAGCAAATTTTAGTCTCCTTACTTACTTTGTCTCTCTCTCTCTCTCTCTCTCATCTGTGTACTTAAATAAGAAGAAATTAAATTAACTACAAATTTAATTAGCCATCTTTTTACTAAAGAAACAGCACTGATTACCGTTAAGAAGAAGAATTGAACAAAATTAATGTTACACTAAAACAGACTGCACTCAAAAAAATATACTTAACAAACCACTCACTTTACCTTTTCTCACTCGGCAAGATAAGATGTAGCTAAGTTAATAGGTACGTGTCGATAAGGTATTTACTATTTGAATAAGGAAAAGGAGCCATATTACTTATCATTATTGATTTGATTTTCGATCTTTTGTTGTGCAATATTTGTAGTGAGAGGAAAGATGAGTGATTGAAAATGCTTTCTTAAAATGTGAAGTATTTTGACCACTGTTGTTACCAGTGTTTGGATTTCCGGGGGTGTTACACCCACAAAAAGATGAAAATTTACGTGGATAAGGCAATCCTCAGTCGAAAATACGGGTTTTGTGGAGAAATTAACTTGTAATCTCTGCCAAACTATATTGTTTTTCGCGACGTTTTAAAAATACAGTATTTTGACAACGATAAGAACTTAAGTTCTTCACAATACCTGTATTTTCGATTGACGACTGTCTTATCCACGTAGATTCTTATCTTTTTGTGGGTGTAACACCCCCAGAAATCCAAACCCTGGTATGAAGATCGGAGCTCAAAATAGTATACATTTTGACAAGTATTTTGGTCACCTCTTATCAGTTTTTGACAATCTTTTACAAAACTTGTCAGAAGAAGAAGAAAGGTTACTTTGTTTCGTTCTTGTCTCTCTATTTGTGATGATGTTTGAAGATGAATATTTAGCGAGTTTTTTCATATTACATAATCTTAAAAACTTATTGGACAGTCCAATTTGGACTGGAATGTATAATGAAATGAAATGAAATGAATGACTTGAGCAATAATAGCTGAGATTTTGTGGTCGTAGTACTTAAACAACGTTAGTTTCTTACTTAATAACTTATTAATTACTATGTATGCTAAATCTCTTTGTTATTAATTGATACCAATCCCACCGACCGACTCACAAAGTAATTTTTAATGAATTAATTAATTGTTAAACGTACGTACGTATGGCTGGTATTATTAAGTAATTACTTTTTACTCATTACTCCTGTATTATTATCCGTCTTTCAGAAATATGTTGGTTTCCTATTTCAAAATCTTGATCGATTTTTTCGGTTAATTACTTTTTTCCAAGTATCAAAAGTTCCTAGTGTTCCTTTTCTGTTGCGTACGATTCCATAAAAATGAAAATGAAGGTTGTTTATACTTAACGATGACGGATCAGCAAAATCAACACGTTTTTAATGATTTCTCCTCTCTGGGAATTTATTTTAAAATTCTGGACGACAAATTTGTAGTCAGCGAGTTGATTAATGAATTGGTGATTTGTTCTTAACGAGTTTCGACGGGTTCCAATTTTTCTGAAGGTTTCTTAACCATGAGATCTCCACTTTCAAAAAGCGTCAAAATTTGGAGTGTACACGACCCTACAAATTTGTCGTCCAGAATTTAAAGTAAGTTCCCAGAGGGGAGAAATGATTAAAAATTTGCTGGTTTTAACGATAAGTCGTACGTTTTGGCTGTCCCGTTCTCAAGATTGAGAAACATATTCCTTTTCGACTGTGAAACTGCGAACATTATTCAATTTCCGCTATAATTTTTTTTTCGCCAATTCTTATTTCAAATATTGACACGCTTCTTAATGCAATAAGTAACAAAAGTAATTTCCCACCACGGATAAATTATTAAACTTAAAAGTCAATCCTGCTTCCAAAACTTGGCAATTTTATTTTTTCCAAGTAAAAAAAAATGCTGCTCATTCTCAGGTCTCTCGGTCTTAGGAAACTTATAAAAGAAAAATTAGGAAACGCTATAGTTTTTGTAAACTAGAAGAAATGAAACGAAGGATTACGAAGCTCTCGGAGGAGGAGGTGATGATGATTAAATATCATGAAGAATTTTTTACTGCTGAACTAATTAATTAGCTAAATAATTACTTAATTATACTTACTTTTTCCATTGCGAAGTTAATTTTTACTTTTCGTACAATCATTTAATTATTATCAAGGTATTTTTATTAATAGTTTATACTTAATTAATTAGCCGGAAAAGAAGAGAGAGCATTTTATATATTTATCAATCAAACCGGGACATATTATTTATCACTTTTGTATCATGATGAAAGGTTAATTTTAATGAATTACTTAATTAATTAATGTATAGTGATAATTATAATGCTATATAATTGTACGAGTTTTGTATGCATTAATGGTCAAATCTACATTTTATTTCGTAAGAATTATACAAGAATTTACGAAATTGTACAAATTATCTATGATTCACAGTTTTACATACGTGAAGAGATTAAGATTAAAAAAGATGGTACATAAATATCTACTTGGTCGTCGTCGTGTCTCCTCCTTATCATCGTCATTAATTACGTAATAATTAATTAATTAATTCTTGTTACATATTAAATTAAACCTAGTTAGTTAACTTGTTACTGCTGAATCTAAAACTGTGTACATGTACTTGAACCTGTTGTGTAGTTTGTTGTAATGTAAAGTAAAGTAACTAGTTATCATAAATTAAATACCCTGTTCCGGAGCTACTTGTTATGTAAATTATTAAATAATTACCTTAATCATAGTTATGTATCGGATTTAATGAGTATGTATAATGGCACATTTTTACCTGTAACTCTGTCTCTTCGCCGTCACGTCGTACTTTGTAATCATGAGTTGCGTAATGATAAGATCTCTACTCTTGGAGGGGGGAGTTCTGTTTTTTTTTCTACGGGGGAACAAAATCCTGGAAACGGACCTTAAAAAACGGAAGGGTTGTCCCCAGCTTTTGTAAACTTTGACGGGTACAGAATCGTGGGGATGATGTCCCCCAAGAGAAGAAATGAATCTTAAAAATCTTATTAAACTCGGTCACACAATGTTATTGTCCCCACGATTCTACTAATTGTTCTCGTCGATAAGATTGAGGTCAGCCTATCATTACGCAACTCTGACACGATTGACGCGCAGATGTTAATTTATTTCTGATTGAATTTGAAGAAGGTGAAAATTATTCCACAATTCTCAACTAAAATTATTACGTAAATAATTAAGTGAAGAAGATAAGCCGGCTGCTGCTGGTGAGGAGTAGAAAACTACGAAATTAGTGACGATGAGAGATGATCTATAGCTAGTTAAAAAAGGAAATTAATACTTTATCATCAATTATTGTTGTAATATCCAAATGTAAAAGTTAATTAGGTTTAACTTTAAATTATCGTTATGTTAAGTGTTACATTCTAATAAAGGTTCGACACATGTTAAATGATTATAAATGTGTTTTCCAAATTTACTGGGCGTTTTCTCCTCTTCGGATGCAAATAGCTCTGTCAAACGTAACGTTATCACTGAAGATCGTGTCTGTTGCATATTTCATACTAACTAAATTTGTTCTCGCTTGACGTTAGTTTGCCCAAAATCTAAGAGACCTCCATTATTCAGTATTCTACGACATCGCGAATGGCTTCTAATCAATCGTAAGGCTATCTTGCAGCGAATGTCATCCCCTTACCTGGTTTCAGTGGCTGAATAAGACACAAATGGGGGCGACACTCTTCACACTTATCGGTTTAACAACATCTTTATATTTTAGGTGATGGAGTTTTTTAAATTTTAGCCGGCGAGGTCGAAATGCTTTAACCTTGTGTAAACCCAGTATTAAAATTAGTATGCAAAGCATGAACTTAAATTGAGCAATATTTCGTAACCGTTTAAATTGAATATTTGTTATTTCACAATTACTTTAAATAAAGTCGAGCCACCGAATAGCACGATATTTTGAAAGAGAATTTTCCTCAAATCCGTGTCCGACTTTTGTATGGAAAACAGCAGAACTTCATGCATAGCTTCACGCTCTTCTCTTCTCAAATCTGGTCGAAACAGGATTTCCGGAGCTCGGAAACGAGCTTGACCAATCTGTCGACAAAATAGACATTCATTGCAATTCCTTATTACTGAAGTTATAACAAAATTGTCCTCACATCGAGCTGAGTGCCGTCTGGCAACTTGTAAATTCGTTTATCCGCATCCGGGTCAGAGTCAGAGTCCTTGGATGGATTCGCAGATAAGTAACACTCTCGCTCCTTAATCCTTCTCACAATTTCGAACTCTGACGACGTTCTAAAGTTGATTCCTTCCTTGCGTAGAAGAAACCTGTACAGCAAAATATATGAACAAAATATACTTAAAACTCTGGTTTAAATGATCAAAACAAAATCAAAACTATATAAAAACCTTGACGATGAAAAAACTCGATAAAAACTCTGACGATGTTCTACGTATTCCTTCCCTACGTAGAATGGTAGCAAAATGAATGAATAGAAATATCAAAACCTTGTCAATACGAGATAAACCAACCTCAGATATCTCGTCACATCTCGCCCACCTTCGTAAATAGGCACTGCATGGGTCACACCATCTCCGGCGTCCAGCACCACGCCCGTCGTCCTCCGTCGTCGGGAATTAAAATTAAAATCGTCGTTCGTTAAGATTATTCGAACAATCATACATTGTTCACTGTTTCGTCATTTTGAATAGGATGGCAATGTACCGAATAACAAAAGTAGGCGTATTTACAGCGTGTTTGATTTGACAGAATTTCAGTTGATTGGTATTTTATAATACATTAAGTAAAATACATACATACAGACTTATCATAATTTGAAAACAAATCAGTATAAACTTTTTGGCAATACAAACCCCATGATTTTACTTAATTAAACAATTAGGCATTTCACGTCAACCTTCATAAATCCGTAACCACGTAAGCTTACGAACCAAAAACATGATGATTATCTTCCATGAATAGCTTAATTGTTAGCAAAAATTACTTGAGAGATATTCCCAGGTTTCGTCAAAAGTTTGTAAGGTTCGTAAGTTTAAAGGGGGTTACGAAGTTACGAAGGGTTTCGTGAAATGCCTCACTATATAGTATAGTTAATAGACACACTAATTTAAGGCTTACCCTCACGCTCGGAGGAATCGAAACGGGTTGGAGTAAAATTCCAGTTTGATCCTTCTCTCTCTCGCTTTGCGTAATGCCTTGTAGTGCCTATCTCGGAACTTCGCATCGACCCTGTGGGGGGGAGGAGTCGACCTCAGGGAAATGCATCCCCCGGTCTTTAGAATTTCGTTTTCTGCGTCTGATGGTATTTTTTTCAAATTTTTTGGACTGGCGCAAGGTACACTTATGCCCCTTACCAGTCTCCATAAGATTATCTCACTTGATGGTAAGGGGCATAAGTGTACCTTGCGCCAGTCCAAAAAATTTGAAAAAAATACCATCAGACGCAGAAAACGAAATTCTAAAGACCGGGGGATGCATTTCCCTGAGGTCGACTCCTCCCCCCCACAGGGTCGATGCGAAGTTCCGAGATAGGCACTACAAGGCATTACGCAAAGCGAGAGAGAAGGATCAAACTGGAATTTTACTCCAACCCGTTTCGATTCCTCCGAGCGTGAGGGTAAGGCTTAAATACTGTGGTAGTTTTTCATCCATAAATTATACATGTACAAACAGTTTTTAAAATAAAGATCCAAAATCAAAATGTTTTTCGGTGAACTGCGCGTTGGCCTTCCTCTTCAAATTCCCGTTTCGAAACCCACATTTTCTTGAACGTGTCCAACGACGCCAATATCGAGCCACCGATCCAGGTCGAGTATAGACGTTCCTGAGGTGCGGAAATCTGTGCATAAGTTACAGTAGCATTATTATATAATTACTGATGATTGTTTATAACTAATCATGTACATCTCTTATCTACCATAACACAAGTTCATAGTGGTATACTTGCCTTGATTTTGATATCCTTTGGTGCTTGTTTTCTCACTTCAGATATCAGACGGTCACCAAAACCCTGGCATAATAATTATATATTAGAAACTTTGCGATATAAATAAGGCATCAATTTAAATTGATAAATATTTGTTAACTGTTTAAAATGAATATATGCTAATTGATTAAATTAAATATTTACTAATTGATTAATTTGAATATTTGCTAACTGATTAAACTGAACGTTTGCTTATTATTTAAATCGAAGATTTGTTAATTGACTAATCTGAATATTTTCTAACTGTTTAAATTGAATATTTCCAAATTGATTAATTTGAATGTACTAATTGCCAAAATTGAATACTTGTTACTTCACAATTACTTTAAATAAAGTCGAGCCACCGGATAGAACGATATTTTGAAAGAGAATTTTCCTCAAATCCGTGTCCGACTTTTGTATGGAAAACAGCAAAACTTCATGCACACTCTTCTCCGATCAAATCTGGTCGAAACAGGACTTCCGGAGCTCGGAAGCGAGCCTGGTCAATCTGTCGACAAAATAGAACTTCATTATTATTCCTTATTACTGAATACATAACAATATTGTCCTCACATCGAGCTGAGTACCGTCTGGCAGCTTGTAAATTCGCTTATCCGCATCCGGGTCAGAGTCCTTTGCTTGGATGGATTCGCAGATAAGTAACACTCTCGCTCCTTAATCGTTCTCACTATTTCGAACTCTGACGACGTCCTAAAGTTGATTCCTTCTTTGCGTAGAAGAAACCTGTACAGCAAAATATATGAACAAAATATAAGTTATCTGATATAGCAATTCTGTATGACTACTGAAGCCCTGCATTACATATACATAAGTATACTTATTTAATTAACATATCTTCAAACTCTGGTTTAAATGATCAAAATCAATTCAAATATATCAAAACCTTGTCAACTATTCTTACTATTTCAAACTCTCACGATGTTCTATGTGCTCCTTCCTTACGTAGAATAGTAGCAAAGTTAATGAATAAAATGTATCAAAACCTTATCAATACGAGATAAACCAACCTTAGATATCTCGTCACATCTCGCCCAACTAAATCCACCCTCGTGATGCTGTGTGGCAGGGCGAAACCTTCGTAATAGGTCACCCCATCTCCGGCGACTAATGCAACATCCGTCGTTCTCTCATTTGCTTATCTTATCTACCAAGAATAATAACTTCATTAGTTGCAGGCTGCAACTTGCAGCACATTCTCTACTTAATCACCAATTTTTACTTACAATTTAAGAACTGCCTGCATCGACAAAAATAAGGCTGGAGCGTTCAGCGTTTCGAAAAATATCTCGGCCGACTTTTCCCTGTTCCTGCGCGGATTGAGGGGCGCTTCCGTAAGGGGAACGGGCTGCAGAGAACAAATATTTCAAAATTATGACCGACTTATGTTCCTTTCTTGTTCTTTTTACCTCTTCAGCAAATGTTTGCAGCTGATCTTTGCTGTACACGTATTGCCAAATTCTCTCCATGTCGTTCCAATTTGTGACGATGCCATGTTCCATCGGGTACTTGATGGCCAACAGGCCCCTGTGCTCTTCCGCCTTGGGACCGATGAGAAGGTCACCCTCGAAAGCTCCGGCCATCACTCGAACGTGCTTTGGACGGCCCACACTGCTCAAAAAATGCTCAAACCTTCACAAACTGCTTATCAACTTCGTTATCTCGTATTTTTAACCACTCACTAATTAGGAAACCGACATTTAGGAACAGAATCTCCAGCAAATCCGGCCTTGATAATACCGTAACCCTGAACCAGACAAATGTCCCATTAACGACCAATTATGCGTTATACAAAATAATTGCTTTCTCACGTTATCAATTACTACAGGCTGATTAACCAACTCCATTTCGTTTTACTTATCGTTTATCAATAAATTCAATTTTTAACAAACTTATCTCGCATTTTATGTACTTTTGTGTGTGCTTTGACTTGAGTCATTCATTTCCAAGCTGGCGCATTATATCTCTTATAGTATGTACGAATCCACTTTGTTCGAAAACGCTATGCTTTCATGCGTTAACTAAACTCCATGATATTTTACTTTTAAGTTCTCAGTGAAATAAATAAAATTAATAATTATAAATAGGCAAATAAATAGTACAATAATTTTCACTAATCGCGCAATTTTGATACATTATTTTTCTCGCTTATAAATTTTATTAGCCATGTACCAGACACGGTATGATTAACACAATATGTTGACATAAGGATGGAAATTGACGACTTACAACTTACGAAGAACATTAATGGATTTGAAAATTCTAATAATTTATAATAACACATATTTTAACAGCAAAATTACTTGAATGCAGGACGTTTCTTCTCCTTCTTCTCCTTCGCTTCTTTGCCTTTGACCGGCTGCTAAAAAAATAATTAATTTAATGAAGGAAGCATAAAATCGAGATAATTAAACCTATTTAATTGACGACTTACTTTTTTTTAGCGCTGGAGCTCGCTGTAGCCTTCAAGTAAGACGGCAGTTCCGTCACAACAAATGTTGCCTGTGGACGAAACATTAGTATTTAATTTGCATGTTAAAATGCAACTGAATTTTTATACAACATTCACTCACATTGGCCATTTCTTCCGTGACTCGGGGAGGCAACGACCTTCGCCTGGTTTTCTTAATTGGTATTGGTGCTTCGTGACACTTTCCTCCAATGGATGAGGCTCTCTTGCCAGGTCTTTTCTTCACCAGCAGACTAAAAACGCAGAAAAAATTTAGTCACTTAATTTACTTTAAGGAAGGAATAATACTATGCCTACAAATGTTCTGCCGTTAACTCCAGGTTGGCGATAAGACGAGTTTGATAAACATCTGGTTCATCCTGATCCTCTTTCGGCCCCTTTTTTCCCATCAGGTTTCTTCTCCTCCAGCTGGAAAATAAAAAATAAAATGGTCATAATTTTGATTTCTAAACCCTCCTCACGGAAGTGCCCCTCAATCCGGGCAGGAAAAGGCAGAAGTCTGCGGAAATATTTTTAGAAACGCTGAACTCTATAGCCTTATTTTTACCTTCACTTTCTCAGATGGTGCTGGGGGTGGGTTTCGTGAGGACTGCGCGACGGGTTCTTGAGGCGGCGTCTCCGGGGGGGATTCACCTCCTACAATCGTCTCTAAAATGGGAACAAACGACTTCCTCTGAGCCATTTTTTCACTATTTTTGAAAATATTGAGAGTAATAGTCGATACGTAGTATTCAGTGGAAGGAGGAAGCGCGACTGAGCCGAAATTGGAAAGCGTCGGCCGAGGAAAGCTCGCCTCTGCAATGTTGAAGAGGTCATGTAGAAGAAAACTCAGTTTCTCCAACTTATTTTCTTGACCTCCCGTAAGAGTTGGCATGGTGGTGGTGGAGGTGGAGGAGAATGTGTCTAGACTCCATCCTCACCACTGTCTCGTTTTTATTTTCAACTGACCTGAAGCCAGCCACTCAAAATTTCCAAAAAGTTGGACAATTTTCCATGACCAAAATGCATGAAAGCTAAGCGTTTTCGAACAAAGTGCATTCGTACTATGAGAGATTTAATGCGGCAGCTTGGAAATGTATGAGTCAAGTCACAGCACACAGAAAAGTTGTTCGTTGTGACAAGTACGTAAAATGCGAGAAAAGTTGGTTAAAAATTGAATTTATTGATAAACGATAAGTAAAACGAAATGGAGTTGGTAAATCAGCCTGTAGTGATTGATAATGTGAGAAAGAAATCAATTTGCAAAAGGTTTAATTGGTCGTTAATGCGAGATTTGTCTGGTTCAGGGTTCCGGTATTATCAAGGCCGGATTTGCTGGAGATTCCGTTCCTAAATGTCGGTTTCCTAATTAGTGAGTGGTTAAAAATACGAGATAACGAAGTTGATAAGCAGTTTGTGAAGGTTTGAGCATTTTTTGAGCAGTGTGGGCCGTCCAAAGCACGTTCGAGTGATGGCCGGAGCTTTGGAGGGTGACCTTTTCATCGGTCCCAAGGCGGAAGAGCACAGGGGCCTGTTGGCCATCAAGTACCCGATGGAACACGGCATCGTCACGGATTGGAACGATATGGAGAGAATTTGGCAATATGTGTACAGCAAAGATCAGCTGCAAACATTTGCTGAAGAGGTAAAAAGAACAAGAAAAGGAACATAAATGGGTCATAATTGTGAATTATTTGTTCCCAGCACCCCGTTCTCCTCACGGAAGCGCCCCTCAATCCGCGCAGGAACAGGGAGAAGTCGGCCGAGATCTTTTTTGAAACGCTGAACGCTCCTGCCTTATTTTTGTCGATGCAGGCAGTTCTAAGCTTGTAAGAATAAGTGTTAACTTAATTCTTGAAGAATTGATAATCGAGGTCTCGCAACATATGGTCACAGATTTTGAGGAATAATCGATCATAAGTTTAATTAATGTGAACTTTGCAAAAGACAATGGGCACGGTTACCAGCGGTATTTGCATCGAAAGAGGAGAAACTGCGCCCTAAAGTTGATAAGTTTTACACCTTTCAACTTTACTGGTCGTTTCCTCCTCTTTGGATGCAAATATCTCTGCCAAAAGTGTCTATTGGTAGATGGTGTAGTTTGCAAATTTCGTATTAATCAAATTTGCGATTGATTCACACTGTTTTGCTAAAAATCAGAGAGCATACGATCTTCATTTTGAGTGATAATTATTTTATTAATCATTTAATTTAACTATCATTTAACCATTTGATTTCGTCCCATAATTAATAATATAATTGTTCTTTGTAGATATGCAACTGGGAGGACGACGGGCGTGGTGCTGGACGCCGGAGATGGTGTGACCCATGCAGTGCCTATTTACGAAGGTTTCGCCCTGCCACACAGCATCATGAGGGTGGATTTAGCTGGGCGAGATGTGACGAGATATCTGAGGTTGGTTTATCTCGTATTGATAAGGTTTTGATATATTCTATTCATTAATATTGCTACTATTCTACGTAATGAACGAACAAGTCTTAGAATTTTGTGAGAGTTTGAATAGTAAGAATGATTAACAAGGTTTTGATATAGTTATATTGATTTTGATCATTTCAACCAGAGTTTGAAGATATGTTCATTGAAAAAGTATACTTATGTAATGCAGGCCTCCAATATTCCTACAGAATTGCTATCAGATCTCGTATTGATAAGGTTTTGATATATTCTATTCATTAATATTGCTACCATTCTACGTAAGGAAGGAATACGTAGAACAACGTGAGAGTTTGAAACAGTAAGAATGGTTGACTAGGTTTTGATTTAGTTTTATTGATTTTGATCATTTCAACCAGAGTTTGAAGATATGTTAATTGAAAAAGTATACTTATGCAGGCCTTCAATATTCATACAGAATTGCTGTATCAGATAACTTATATTTTGTTCATATATTTTGCTGTACAGGTTTCTTCTACGCAAGGAAGGAATCAATTTTAGGACATCGTCAGAGTTTGAAATAGTACGGACGATTAAGGAGCGAGAGTGTTACCTATCTGCGAATCCATCCAAGGACTCTGACCCGGATGCGGATAAGCGAATTTACAAGCTACCAGACGGTAGTCAGCTTGATGTAAGGACAATATTGTTATATATTTAGTAATAAGGAACAACAATGAATGTGTATTTTGTCGACAGATTGGCCAGGCTCGCTTCCGAGCTCCGGAGGTTCTGTTTCGACCAGATTTGATCGGAGAAGAGTGTGAAGCTATGCATGAAGTTTTGCTGTTTTCCATACAAAAGTCGGACACGGATTTGAGGAAAATTCTCTTTCAAAATATCGTGCTATCCGGTGGCTCGACTTTATTTAAAGTAATTGTGAAGTAACAAATATTCAATTTTTGCAATTAGTACATATTGAAATTAATCAATGAACAAATATTCAATTTAATCAATTAGCATATATTCAATTTAAACAGTTAACAAATATTTATCAATTTAAATTCATGCCTTATTTATATCGCTTATTTATATATTTATACAAAGTTTCTAATATATAATTATTATGCCGTTTGTCAGGGTTTTGGTGACCGTCTGTTATCTGAAGTGAGAAAACAAGCACCAAAGGATATCAAAATCAAGGCAAGTATACCTCTATGAACTTGTGTTATGGTAGATAAGACATGTGCATGATTAGTTATAAACAATGATCAGTAATTATATAATAATGCTACTGTAACTTATGCACAGATTTCCGCACCTCAGGAACGTCTATACTCGACCTGGATCGGTGGCTCGATATTGGCGTCGTTGGACACGTTCAAGAAAATGTGGGTTTCGAAACGGGAATTTGAAGAGGAAGGCCAACGCGCTATTCACCGAAAAACATTTTGATTTTGGATCTTTATTTTAAAAACTGTTTGTACATGTAGAATTTATGGATGAAAAACTACCACAGTATTTAAATTATTGTGTCTATCAATTATCTTACATATTGAGGCATTTCAAGTTAGGTTTCGTAACTTCGTAACCCCCGTAAACTTATGAAACTTTTGACGAAACCTGGGAACATCTCTCAAGTAATTTTTGCTAACAATTAAGCTATTCATAGAAGATAATCATCATGTTTTTAGTTCGTAAGCTTACGTGGTTACGGATTTATGAAGGTTGACGTGAAATGCCTAATTGTTTAATAAGTAAAATCATGGGGTTTGTATTGCCAAGAAGTTTATACTGATTTGTTTCCAAATTATGATAAGTCTTGTATTTAATTTTATATGCGAATGTAAAAACCAATCAATTGAAATTCTGTGTCAAATCAAACACGCTGTAAATACGACTACTTTTGCTATTCGGTGCATTGCCATCCTATTCAGAATGACGAAATAATGAACAATGAATGATTGTTGCTCTTAAAAACTGAGTAGATTATTGTATAATTGAGTAGGTCTCTTTATTTATCATGTTTAATACGTTACTTGTTACAGCAGCTAATCATTTTATACAAATAATAAAGCTGAAGATTATCACAATGATAAAAGGCAGGAAACATTACAAGTGAAAGAGGAATATCTATAAAATAAGTTATATTTGTTACATATTTATTCATATTGGGGTACAAAATCAATCATACATTGTTGTTGCTAGAGTATTGCGGAGGTTATCTTCTCACCAACTTTGTAAACGTGATACCCTACTAATTGTTTGGATCATTTAGGAACGAACTACGTGGTACAATCCTTAATTAATTATACTTACATAATTATCTACGTATACATATTTATATTCTATCATTATGCATGTATTTACATATTCTGCTATACATAGAATAGATATTATTTATTAGCCTCAGTATTCTTCCGCCATCATCAGAACGACGAGCGACGACCAGCCGGTGAAGGGTCGGCAACCCCTCTCTTTCCCCGTTGCGTCGTCTGAGCTTTGCAGTGGAAGAAATGTAGCCAACCCGCAAGAAAGGAGGGTACTTATTTATCTGTACGATTGCAACATTTCGCTGTACATGTCCCCAGATAAAAGTTTCTTGAAAGGGACGACCCCGGTTTCAGACTCGTATACAATGTCCATACTAAAGTGACCCTTACGTGAACCTGCAATGATTAAAAGGTCACAGTCATTAACGTTTCCCTTGACTAGATGATATAAGTATGTACATAGTCGCATGATAAGTATCAGGGGTGGCCGAAAAGTATTGATTGCTTATTCAAGTGTCGCGAATCATCATTTTCAATCGTGTGCGAACAATAAAAGTCTCGCAGCGTATGCTCTCTGATTTTGAGGGTCAAACTAGTGTCAACCGATCATACTTTTAATGAATATGAAGTTTGCAAAAGGCACGATCTCGCAATGGGCACGTTTCGCAGAGATGTTTGCATCCGAAGAGGAGAAAACGCGTATCAAAATTGACAAATTGACGGCAAGTTTCCTCTTTACGAATGAAAATATTTCTGCAAAACTTATCCATTGAGTGATCGTATTGCAAATACAAATTGCATACTAATTAAAATTGTGATCGATTCACACTAGTTTGGTCAAAATCTGAGAGCTGACGATGCGAGACCTCCATTCCGAGTCGGAAAAGTATCTAAGTAGTAAATTTCTACAACGTTTCTTGCACTTTGTAACGTAATACTTTGGCCACCCTTATAATAAACACACACCTGATAAACAAGAAAGTTTTGAGGGTTCGAGTCTGGCTGATTCCTATTTTTGAGGAAGAACAACCACTGCTTTTCGGAAACCGAGGTGGTCGCCATGCTCGAGAGCACGGTGTTTGAAGCGGCAGTCATGGAATCCAGACTTGTTTGGATAAATGAAGACTTTAAAACGTTATTGTTGTTGATGAACCTGTACAAAAAATGAGGATTTAATATAGATAAGTCATAGTTGTTATCATGTTTGTTTAAAAAGTGGGAATTACTTTATCGTGAACTTTCCCAACTCGGGCGTGTAACCTTCGACGGATTTGAGAATGTCGCCGTAATATTCGGGAACGAGATTCCCACCCATGCCGGCTTCCAAAGCGACGTAGTAGAGGAGCACGACTTCCTCCTTCGTGGTCGACTGGGGATGATTTGTAGTCGCCTAATAGACAGAAGATTGGTTAATTCGTCATCGGAATAATGATACATACACGAATGAAATATATAACTAATTCATTTAATTAATTAACGTAGGACTCGATAATTCATCGTTAAAGACAGCAAATATTTAATATTTCTCCAATGTATTTTGAAATTCTGAATGATGTACTTGTTGAGCAGACCTTTCCCAATTAAAAAAAAATAAACTATAAATTTCGACACTTTTTGAAGGAGACCTCAACTTTAAGAAGCCTTCAGATAAATTGGACCTCATCGAAACTGGCTTAAAAACTCAGCACCATTCAATTAATCAACTCACTGACTACAAATTTGTCGTCCAGAGTTTTAAAATAAGTTCCCAGAGCGGGGAAATGATTAAAAATGTGTTGATTTTGACGATGAGTCGTCAATTCCTACATTAAAATTTCCATTTAATACATATGTAAGTAGGTATTTACTTTGTTTTGACAATGAGTTATCGAATTCTACGTTAACTAGTCAATATTTAAAAACTTCTGATTTTTACCAGAGGTTGAACTTCGATTCGTGACGTCCAATCGCCACCTTTCTTCCCGTGATGAGCTTTAACGAAAGACGTTGTCAATTTCATGTGATGATCAATGATTTCCTGAACCCCAAAGTTTACGCCGTCATGCTCAACCCAGCCGTACTTCGTTAGGCCGTCACCTTGTTCGCACAAGTGCCTAAAATTAGAAGGAAATTACGTGTTTATAAAACGGAATTGAATTTGCATTGTTGTGGATAAAGTGAAATTACCGTAAGTTGGGTTCTCCTGGCCTGACTAGAGAAGGGAGGAGCCACATGAACCCAGTGAGCAAGGACTTTGGACTTCGATGCTTCATCCCAAAGTAGACGCCGGGTCGATAAGACCCCCAAAACCGTTCGGGAATATCAAGCCCTGCACGGACGACTACCTGCGAAAAGTAGCGAGTACCAAAATCAAGTGAGAGTATAGATACAAAATTAGTACTTTCTGTAGAGACGTAAATATTTACTTAAAATTAGACAGATTACTTAACTTATTAATAATAAGACACTTTACGTCAACCTTCGTAATTTCGTGACCACGTAAGTTTACGAAGATCAACTTACGAACCAGTAACATGGCTTTTATCTTTGTAAGTTTTTGTAATAAGTCAAAATTATCTACGCGATGTTCCTATGTTTCGTTAGTTTACGAAATTACGAAGACTGACGTGAAATGCTTCATTAGTTAGCTAATTATTTAAGTGATTAGAATACAAATAATTAACTTTGTTTGGCCATGGATTGAATACCAGTTTGTAATTAACTAACTAATACTTATCGACACACTTGAACAAAGAACAACAAACAGACAAACAAATAGAATACCTTATCTACTTGCAGAGGAGTTGAAATTCTCGTCTCTAAATATCCAAGATAACCTTAATACGCTACAAATGCTACAATTGTGCTTATCCCGCAGGTGGAAAGTAGTCTGTAAAACAAACATTTTAATTAATACATGACGACATTACAAACATACATAATCATATTAAAACCTGAAAACATTCCATCAAAGCAAATACATATCTTTCTCACTTGTTAAACGTGAACGATTTCTGGCGTTTATGTAGTAGCACCGCCGTGTCGCCACCGCCGTTTCGATACCCGGGACAATCTGTCGACAAAATAGTAATTCATTGTTGTTCTTTATTACTGAATATATAACAATATTGTCCTTACATCAAGCTGACTACCGTCTGGTAGCTTGTAAATTCGCTTATCCGCATCCGGGTCAGAGTCCTTGGATGGATTCGCAGATAGGTAACACTCTCGCTCCTTAATCGTCCGTACTATTTCAAACTCTGACGATGTCCTAAAATTGATTCCTTCCTTGCGTAGAAGAAACCTGTACAGCAAAATATATGAACAAAATATAAGTTATCTGATACAGCAATTCTGTATGAATATTGAAGGCCTGCATAAGTATACTTTTTCAATTAACATATCTTCAAACTCTGGTTGAAATGATCAAAATCAATAAAACTAAATCAAAACCTAGTCAACCATTCTTACTGTTTCAAACTCTCACGTTGTTCTACGTATTCCTTCCTTACGTAGAATGGTAGCAATATTAATGAATAGAATATATCAAAACCTTATCAATACGAGATCTGATAGCAATTCTGTAGGAATATTGGAGGCCTGCATTACATAAGTATACTTTTTCAATGAACATATCTTCAAACTCTGGTTGAAATGATCAAAATCAATATAACTATATCAAAACCTTGTTAATCATTCTTACTATTCAAACTCTCACAAAATTCTAAGACTTGTTCGTTCATTACGTAGAATAGTAGCAATATTAATGAATAGAATATATCAAAACCTTATCAATACGAGATAAACCAACCTCAGATATCTCGTCACATCTCGCCCAGCTAAATCCACCCTCATGATGCTGTGTGGCAGGGCGAAACCTTCGTAAATAGGCACTGCATGGGTCACACCATCTCCGGCGTCCAGCACCACGCCCGTCGTCCTCCCAGTTGCATATCTACAAAGAACAATTATATTATTAATTATGGGACGAAATCAAATGGTTAAATGATAGTTAAATTAAATGATTAATAAAATAATTATCACTCAAAATGAAGATCGTATGCTCTCTGATTTTTAGCAAAACAGTGTGAATCAATCGCAAATTTGATTAATACGAAATTTGCAAACTACACCATCTACCAATAGACACTTTTGGCAGAGATATTTGCATCCAAAGAGGAGGAAACGACCAGTAAAGTTGAAAGGTGTAAAACTTATCAACTTTAGGGCGCAGTTTCTCCTCTTTCGATGCAAATACCGCTGGTAACCGTGCCCATTGTCTTTTGCAAAGTTCACATTAATTAAACTTATGATCGATTATTCCTCAAAATCTGTGACCATATGTTGCGAGACCTCGATTATCAATTCTTCAAGAATTAAGTTAACACTTATTCTTACAAGCTTAGAACTGCCTGCATCGACAAAAATAAGGCAGGAGCGTTCAGCGTTTCAAAAAAGATCTCGGCCGACTTCTCCCTGTTCCTGCGCGGATTGAGGGGCGCTTCCGTGAGGAGAACGGGGTGCTGGGAACAAATAATTCACAATTATGACCCATTTATGTTCCTTTTCTTGTTCTTTTTACCTCTTCAGCAAATGTTTGCAGCTGATCTTTGCTGTACACATATTGCCAAATTCTCTCCATATCGTTCCAATCCGTGACGATGCCGTGTTCCATCGGGTACTTGATGGCCAACAGGCCCCTGTGCTCTTCCGCCTTGGGACCGATGAAAAGGTCACCCTCCAAAGCTCCGGCCATCACTCGAACGTGCTTTGGACGGCCCACACTGCTCAAAAAATGCTCAAACCTTCACAAACTGCTTATCAACTTCGTTATCTCGTATTTT